AAAAAAAAAAAAAAAAAAAAGGGCCTGTCACTACCGACCGTCGTGACTACGATGCTCGGTAGCGACGCGTCCTGAAAGGGGATGCTCTACTTCAGCGAATCTACCATCTCTCAGAAGAAGGCGGCGGAACGAGAGAAAAAGAGCTCTTCCCTCTCTACACCGATCTGTCGCCGTCAAACCGGGGGCTGCAGGAGACTGACTGCTTCCGAACCAGCGAGCTATTCTAAGACACCAGCGGCACAACCTGAACCGCCGTACCGACACGACCTTCGTTTCGCCTCGAAGACTCAGTTGGCCGTGCGTCCTTGAAGTGCCTTAGCGCGCCTTACCTCGCCCAGGTTCGAACTTTGAGGTTGACGCTTGGGCGAAAGTGCAGGGGCGTGAGTAGCGTCCTAAATACCGTCCTTGGACGCGCGGATTATCCAGTCTCATATACCTCGCGCGCCCCTTATTTGCTTTACTAGTGCCTTTTCTTACGTGCCATAACCTTTCAGGCTATGAAGGTTGCTAGTAGAATACAGAGCAAAAAATAATTACAATAGTATGACTTTTAATATAGATTTGTTACAATGTAACTTTTTTCAATTTAGTTTATTTATGACTATTAATCATTTATTAATCATTCACAGAATACAATGGCACCTCTAAATATTGTGGATACACCGTACAGCGATCTAACAAAACTAGAAGACAGCATCGAAAACAAACCGAACAATCAAGCAAACAAACCTAATAACTTCGAAAAAACTAATACAGTTGATCCGTATGACGAAGTCAAACTTAATGAACCAATTTTCTTGGCTCCTATACGTAAATGGGAAAAAAGAATGGATTTCGTGACACCCATAAGATGGACGAACGCTATTCTTATAACAACATTCCATGTGGTCACAGTTGTTTGGGGTTTTTACACATTATTTTATGAAAAGCAAAAACCAATGTGGCAATCTGTTATATTTGGTAATTACTAAATTAGACCAATGGGCAATTTTGTTACAATGTTAACTCCAGTTAAATAACTCATCTTACGTTTATTTTCAATTAGGAATATTCATGGGACAGCTAGCAGGCTTTGGAGTGACAGCAGGCGCACATCGATACTGGTGCCATCGGTCATACAAAGCGAAACTACCATTGCAATTAATTTTGGCACTCTGCTACTCAGCAGCTGGACAAGTACTAATCCATTTTAATATATATTATACAACATATGTACGTTTTCTAAACATAATTAAGAATTTGCTTGCCTTTTAGAATACAATCTACGAATGGGTTCGAGATCATCGTGTGCACCACAAATTCTCGGAAACCTCGGCCGACCCACATGATGCCAATCGTGGCTTTTTTTTCTCACATATCGGATGGCTTATGATGAAAAAACACCCAGACGTAGTGAAGCAGGGGTCCAAAATTGACATGAGTGACATCATCCACGACCCTGTTGTGATTTTCTGCACCAAGTAGGTACATAAATCATTAATTAGTTTAAAATCATTGAAAAAGGGTATTGCTTTGTTCTGTATAGAACAAATACAATCTTCGACAAACTACCGTTTTCCTCAACTTTGAGGTTAAAAGCAACTCGTCTATATATTTAACTTTATTGTTTCCGTTTTTTCAAATTTAGGTACATAGTTAACCAACGACAAACGATAAGCGACAAAAATACGTGCTATTTTATTTTTTATTTTTTTATTGCTTAGATGGGTGGACGGGCTCACAGCCCACCTGGTATTAAGTGGTTACTGGATCTCATAGACATCTACGACGTAAATGCGCCACCCACCAAGATCTCAAGTATAGTTACAACGGCTGCCCCACCCTTCAAACCGAAACCCATTACTGCTTCACGGCAGAAATAGGCAAGGTGGTGGTACCTACCCGCGTGGACTCACAAGAGATCCTACCACCAGTAAGAAGTATTTGAGTGTTCGTCGCTTTTACTTCACTTTACGGTGTCAAAATTATGAAACTGCTATATACCAAACCTCGCGACCGCTTTGCACGTAACGGCTGTTTTAAAAAAAATCTGTAACTAATTATTTTCGCAGATACTTCATTTTGTTCAAAATAACATTCTGTTGGATAATACCATCGGCGCTTCCTGTCTACGCTTGGGGCGAATTGTGGAATATCGCCATTCTCTCCCAAGCATTCTGGAGATATATGCTCAGCTTGCACTTCACTTGGTCTGTCAATAGTTTTGCGCATCTATGGGGGAACAAACCTTACGATAGGTAGTATTTTTGAATGTACATAATTTGTTTTTGAGGAATTGAATTTATGTTTAATCACACAAATTGTGTACTCGTACGCGCGTGTGTATCGTAGAATGTAATCTAGCGTAGAAGTAGAATTTGTGAAAAAAAGCTCACTTAGCTTTTTTTTACAAAATCATTGTGAAATCAGTGCGCCCATGGGAAGTTAATTTGTTTCTACATGTAATGATGCAGCTTAAGTTCTATCAAAATCGAAAAGACTTAAAGTAATTATCATATAAGTTCTTACTTTTAGAGACGTCATTTGCCTGTTTGTTCTAATAATAAATTTTGTTGAGAAATTACAATTAGATACATATTTATCTTACCTAATTAGGGAAATAGATGGTAAAAATAGCCGATGAGTAAAAATTAAACCACGTCACTTAATAATGATGTAATTAAAATGGTTTAACGAGAGAATCCCACGGTAAATGATAAACACTGTAATTAAAAGAAACAAGTTTTTTATCACCTGTATATATATACCTATATATGGCCTTGTAATCCCACGCGTCTTGGTATCACTGCTCTGCCTATTTCTACTGCGAAGCACTTAGAGAAAATTTGTAATTATCCGTCATTCCAGTTAATAACTACCCCATAACGAATGAATTAATAAGAATATATTTTTCAGGTATATAATGCCGTGTGAAAACAAAGGAGTCTCTATTGTTGCAATGGGCGAGGGTTGGCATAATTACCACCACACTTTCCCTTGGGACTATAAAGCCGCTGAATTGGGTGTCCCAAACAATACCACAACTTTCTTACTAGATCTGTTCGCTAAAATAGGTTGGGCATATGACTTAAAACAAGCATCGCCAGCATTAGTCCGAGCTGTTGCTAAGCAGAGGGGAGAATGCAAGGAATGATCTACTTCACAGCTGTACATAAGTGAAATTAAATTATTCTATATTTTTACCAGTTTCTTAGGCCTTCTCATGGTTGCGACTACGGAATCAAAATATTTATCCATTCCCAACATCATCTCGCTTATACACATAAACTTCTAGTTGCCTTTATAGACTATCTGAACATCGATTTGCAGTTATCCTTAATGAGAGATTGAGGGACAGTGAAGCTTTCATAATTTTATGAGCGGGATTCGATGCCGAATTGGCTTAATATGGATAAATTTGTGCACATTACAATGTGAAGTATAAGCATCGATGTAGCGCTTTATGGGCTCCTTGCACAAAAATCAAACATTAAGAAATACAAGTGCTATGCGATGCGTATTGCTAGCAAAATGCGTGTCGTCGATGCGTGTAGCTATGTACCGTACCACAAACAAAATAATAAAACGCTAAAATTTAAATTGCATTTTAATTACCAAAAATCTTATTATTTTTTTATTTTAGATATATCTATACTAACATTATAAAGAGGAAAGATTTGTTTGTTTGTATTGAATAGGTCCCGAAACTACTGAACCGATTTGAAAAATTATTTCACTGTTTTGAAGTTTTCGAAGTCGTTGTGGCCTAACGGATAAGACGTCCGGTGCATTCGTGTTGAGCGATGTACCGGTGTTCGAATCTCAGGCGGGTACAAAATTTTCTAATGAAATACGTACCCAACAAATGTTCACGATTGATTTCCACGGTGAAGGAATAACATCGTGTAATAAAAATGAAACCCGCAAAATTATAATTTGCGTAATTACTGGTGGTAGGACCTCTTGTGAGTCCGCGCAGGTGGGTACCACCACCCTGCCTATTTCTGCCGTGAAGCAGTAATGCGTTTCGGTTTGAAGGGTGGGGCAGCCGTTGTAACTATACTGAGACCTAGAACTTATATCTCAAGGTGGGTGGCGCATTTACGTTGTGGATGTCTATAGGCTCCAGTAACCACTTAATACCAGGTGGGCTGTGAGCACGTCCACACATCTAAGTAATAAAAAAAAAACTACACTATATTAAAAAATTACCTAAAATATTCTTTACATCGCGTGCCCTGCGAAAACTATTGATGACAGAATAAAATAATGTACTACTACTTTGTAGAACACATTATTATTTACAAAAAGTGTCGCGACAGCATATGTCTGCCTATTATAGTTATGCCGAACTAAGTGTTCTTTTATTAAAAAAAATAAAACAACGTCAAATATCGTTGAAATTTTTGTTAAAGACCCGAGCGGAGCCGGATCGGGCCGCTAGTCAAAAATAAAAAGATTTTTATTTTTTATTTTAGATATTTAAGAAAAGAAACAAAAATAAAAAGATGAAAATGATAAAAAGATAGGTCCTATAGCAGAATTCGAATGCTCGAAACAAATAAACTACTGTTATTTTAAATTTTACGTAAATGAAATCCGACTACCTTTAATACAATTAAACAAACATACCTATAACAAATTATCATGTTAATCGCCTTACCGTTGTCGCCGCTGACTACTCCCCGAATCCTGCTCACGCAGGAGCCAGTCATCGTCGACGCCCTTGACACGTCCTTACGGATCCATCAGGTCCAATAACCGTTGCATTAGACGCCTTTAGATCTAGCATAAGGAGCAGGCTCAGGGACTCCGGTAGCCGTACTCGTCGACCTCAAAGACTTCGACGTTCAACCTAACCTAAACATCAACCCGCTGAGTTTCTCGCCGGATCTTCTAAGCGGGTCGCGATTCCGATCCGGTAGTAGATTCATTCGCGAAGCACTGCTCTTGCGTGTTAGGTCTCCTTTGGAAGCGCTCGGGCAGCTGTTAGCAAATCCTACCCCTCCTGGCTCAGCCTTTGCTCACCCACCTGTCCTGGCGAAACTGGAAAGGCCTCCGGTAATCCCTAAATCCTAAAAAAGAAATCTATATACATATATAAAAATGAATTGCTGTTCGTTAGTCTCGCTAAAACTCGAGAACGGCTGGACCGATTTGGCTAATTTTGGTTTTGAATGATTTGTGGAAGTCCAGAGGAGTTTTAAAAGGTAGTTAAATATGAAAATGCTCGGAATTAAATAAAAATAACAATTTTGTTTTTCCTTTGATGTGTCCCCCGTCAGACGGATGCCTTTTGTTTGTTTTAAGTTTATTTTATACAAAAGTTTAGGTATTTTATTTATCGATTGAGGCACTACGAAATCTGCCGGGTCAGCTAGTAAAAAATATTAATTATTTTGTCATTCAATTATTTTTCTTTAACTTTGTTTTCATTGTTTACTTCGTTTTTTGGTACATCATTTACATTTTCATTATATGTGATAAATCTTTCAGAAAAACAAGTTTCACTCTTTTATCGATAGAGATTAACACTATTTCACCCCTACTTGACAGTTAGCTCTTGTTCATTAGCATTGTTGCTAGAAATTTACATAATAAGATACGAGGTAATTTTGCTTAATCTGTTAATTTTGTTTCACATAATTATTCACGTTACAATGAAAAAAATATTCGTGTTTGTTATGTATTTAATAATCAGCATTAAATCAGTTAATTTAATTTAATTAAAGTAGAAATAATATTAAACGATGTACAATTTTTTAAAATATTTTTTGCGTAGTTACGATAATAAGCTCGCGGAACTTGTGTGGTTTTATTTATTTACCGTTGCTGACGTTACAATCTTAAAGTGACGCACAATTTTAATGATAAAAATATATTTTTTCTGTTTGATCTCGTGCATCTTTTATTTAATTCATATTGGTCGTTTCAAATACCTACGTATTTCTGAATTCAGTTTAGGAAGTCGTTACCAGATCTCCTGAACCCTCTTTACAAACCCAATAAACGAAAAGTAATAAACTCACGGAAATGTCCCTCAAATCAGATTTGTTAAATAGCTCTCAGCAATAGGCAGCAGTTTGACTGCCCTTTTGGCATTGCTAGAGAGATAACTATCGACCATCAAGTGGGCACCCTGATCAATAGCCGAGGAAAGAAAAAAATAACTTGCGCTTTTATTTTTAATGCTCTATATAAAATTTATAGCTTCTACATTATAATATTATATATCCACAGTTGATAATAACTTACTACACCTATTTTTTTTTCGTGCCTGGAGCCGAACCTCCTACGAGGTCCACACGCCTAGGGGGCGCGCGGGGTATGTGGGACTTCACGATCTGCAAGGTGTTGGGAGCAGCCCGCGGGCCCAAGGAATTTTAGGGCCCTACCCACTAAACGACTCCCCTGCACTCTTATACCCGACGTCCGATCTCCGTCCGGGGTCAAAATCCGGTCAGGGTAGGGGGGTTCCCGCAGTCAACACTACAAACAAGACACGCGGCGCCACCCCGAGGACGCCCGACCGACGGGTCGTCGAGGCGATAGTCGACGACCAATGACGTCGGTCTCCGCGGTACGGCGGCACTACCAGGCCGCCCGGGCGATGCCGCTGGTGTTCCGGGATACCCCGCTGGGCCAGAACCAGCCTGCCGGGTCGGAACGCGATAGACCGCCGACCGGGTTGCTCTTCCACAGTATCTTCGGCGACGACAGCGACGACGAAAATGCGGACCGCATCGCAGTCCGCAGCTGCCGACGCGTCATCCCGTCCTCCTGGTGCCAGCGCGCTAGAGTGACGGTATTGTGCGGCGCAGCCTCAACCCCCTTAGGTCGCCCCGTGACCATCACTGGAGAGAGACTGCCTCCTCATCAGCTTACTACCGTAATCAAAACATCTTAGTAATTTCTCACATTTATAAAATGTGTCCCATAAAGGATACATTAAGCTAAATAGTGTTCTATGAGAATAATCGATTCGACGGGGAAAAAAACCCAAGTATACCACTTATTACCAGGTGAGTCGTGAGCCACCAAAAACCTAAAACCTAACAAAAAATAAAAACGATTTACCATCAGGTGTCCTATATGCTCGTCTGCCTAAAGACAATAAATAATTTTTAAAAAGCTCCAGTAGTTACACAATCAATACAAGGTGATACCAAAAGTGTGTTTAAAGTTTTCTATCAAAGCTTAAAGTTGAGATAGTGTACTTTATCAATCGTTAAATGAATTGAAGAGCATTCAATAAATTTTGATAGGTTAAATCCTTCGGTTGCTTAGGAACGCACATGAAAAAATAATGTAGGTACCTAATTATCTATGTGTTGGAATCGTCCAGGAAACCTTGGCAAGCCATTAAAAAAAAGCAAAGCACTTCCAAAGAAAAATCCTAGTTTCTACAATGCAGTAACAAAAGGAACCAATAATAGTTTATATTTTTATTAGCTTCTCTTACATGGAAACCACAAAATTTGTATAGAGGACAAAACACTTAAAAATTAAGAGCTTGACTAGTTCAGTGTAACAGAATTTCGTGGCAAACAATAGTTTACATACACAGTTTTGGCTCGGTTTTATGTCAATTCTACCCCACTAAGAGTATCAAATGGCATTCAGAGGTAAAGTCAAAACAATTTCAAAACCTTAAGTCTACAATAGGGCAAGATATCACTACACGCTGAATCAAAGGCTCGAGATCAAACCCTTCCATTGTCTGCCAACTCTAAATTAAAGCTCCCTTGGTTGAATTAAATTTCTTTCATAAATTTTTACTTTTCTCTTCAAACTAGGTATTAAAAAAAAAACTCTGCAGTTGACAACAGCTTGGCTGTGTCCCTAGGACTGATGGTATCCACAGAGAGCAATAATTATAATAAGCTGGTAAAAGTGTAACCGAATTTGAATATTACTTGCTCTATTTTTATCATTATAGTTTTCTCTAAATGTATGTTACTTAGGTTTGCACGAAAAACCATTGAAATTTTAAAACAATTAGAGCATATTTTCGATAAGGAATTTTTCAAATACAAGTAGACTATAGCATGTGATCATATGTACCGGTCTTTTTCCTTTTCACATTTGCTTTTCAGATTCAACTGTTTTAACTATCATGAAAAAGCCAAATGTTGGTTCTTTTAATTTTCATTCATATAATAATTAAGATAAATAAGAATAAACACTCCCCTTTACTGCAGCAAAACTTATTTGAAATAATACATTTGTAAAAAGCAAGATTTTTCTAGTCTACTCTTATTTGAGAAAGCCCTATCTTAATGCTTGTAGTTTGTACATGATTCACATAATTTTCATAAACAAAACCGAAATGGCAATATAACATATTGTAACATTGTAATATAATTAATAGCATAATAAATTAATGTCTCATCAGAACTTTGAGTAATTTTTCCATACTTTACTCTAATCACTACAAAATAAATTTTAAACATCAATTTCTTTACTGAATCACTTCTAAGATACACTATTAAATATATATAAACATGGAGAACATATTATATGTAATTATTAGTTTTTTTTTATTTAAAAACATTCAGTCTTCAATCAATGAAAACAAATCCCTTTTATTTTTGCCTATGCTAATTATTTCTTTGTCAATTTTGTTTACTTTAGCTTCTTTAGATGGTCTAACATCTTCATCCTTTGATGGTTTTCTTTTGAGACTAACTACTTTATTTGAGTACACTCCTTCATTGGCATTATATTCGCTGTTTGATACTTTTCTCTTCTTTGTTTTAGTAATAACAAAGTCCAAATCTGAAGAATCATCATCAAAATCTGCATATATTGGTACTGATCTGCCACTCCGTGTCGATCTTATAGGTTGAACTCTTGATTCCTCAATAATTTGTATAGGAGGGGGCCATGTTGCAAAATTTCCAGATTTTCTAGCTTGATGATAATTATTTATGGACATTAATTTTATATAAATCGCTAGTGTTTGAGCTTTTTCTGTCTGAGTCAATTGCTCAGGAAAGATACTCCAGGGCATTCTTCTATCTTCTACATCTATGCTACGTCTTTTCAAACTCTTAGTAGTAACAGAAACAGTCTCATTGATCTGAAATATTTAAGTCACTGCTAAAATATTATTGTATAATAGCTTATTTAGTTTTTTACTATGAATTTCAGTCTCAGTCTTGTTTGGTCTTATTTCAATAAAAAATTACTATTACCTCAATTCTACTATCTATTGTTATAAAAACATTTCATGTTATTAAAATTAAATTAAACTACATATTCAATTTATATTATCAACTTTTAAACTATTACTGTTTGTCTTGTTAGTTCCTCTTCTACACTACACTCGGAATTCCTTAGAGCTTTTAAAATATCGCTCATTTCGGATTTACTCAAATTTTCTTCTTCAAATCCAAATTCTGAAAATAAATGTATTTATACAAAAATGTGTAATTTTAAGAGATAGGTATTTGTTTTAGGATTTTATTCATACTAACTACCTGTAAGTTGTTTTTTCATACTTCGCGTTTCTGAATCGCAACTATCATCTGATGATATTGACGGTTCCATGATCATTTTTATTTAATTCAGCAAAATCAAAGTAAAATTTTGTAGGATCGAATCCGGTATTAAGTCTATACGACTATAATAAAAATTAATACAGACGTAACATGAAAAAATTCAGTGCGATAGAAAATCATTAAAGTGACTATAAAAATTAGCTTTTAGCAATATAGTAAAATTTAAAATTGGCGATTTCGGCCAAGTTATTTACATCTAAACATAAATGTCAACTGTAAAACTGACTTTGATTGAATTTATGGTGTTTTTCCAATTTAGATAATTCACTTGACAGTTGGCAGTCAGTTATCACTGTGCTGGATATTTGTTGAAATGTGTTCGAAATCACTGAATACGGTACATCATTAATGAAAAACGAACGAACGGCTATGCGACTACGGAATATTAAGTTACAAGAAAACTGTATACTTAAAGTGTAAGTTGCAAAAATTCTAAATTTCATAAACGAAAATAATATCTTTTATACATTTGCTAAATGTCTATTGAAATAAATGTTTTTTTTTTTCTACGTTCTTGACCTGAGAACGAAATAAATGTGATATATAAGGTTATTTTTAAGGGTATTTAAAAATCCTCTTTGTTTACAGCTAAGTATTAATCAGTTCTCTCTCTCTTACGCTCCGCAGTTCCTTCAGAGAAATCACGGAAGTCAAGCATCACCTTATAGGACTTGTCACTGCCAAACATCAAATGCATAACAGTCGGCGACTACAAGTTCTATTCTATTTAAGTGAAGACGAAGCTTCCCCTCCCATGAAGAGTATATTGAGGGTGTGTGCTTGGCTGTATCCACGTCGCTACCACAATAGTTGACAATAGTAACACTATATTGTCGGTTCTTCTTGGCGTTGTAGCGACCGAAACAGCATAACCCGTGAATCAGTCACACTTTATCGCAAACCACGTTATGGAACTTCGTTGCAGTACATAAATACTTTGCAACCTTCTCAACTGGCACACTTTAGCTGTTATACATCATAGAAAATTTACTATACACACAATTTCTTTTTAAACATGTTTTACTAACATATTTTTGATTGATCAAAGAAAATCACCATTGAAATTTTAAGATAGTTAAACCTTATTTATTCGTAGAGTTAAACTCATGTTTTTCGTGTTACACATGTCAATGATATATTTGTCTATTTAAATTTTATTAAACTACTTTGACTTTAGTACCTACAATAATTATAAACAAAAAAAATAAGAAAGAAAATGATCATACGTAAATGCACAACAACCACAACCACTGCAAATTTTATGCAATAATAAACATTTTCTGTCTGAGAATTGGAGTCCAGAAATAATAAACAAATAAAAAACCTAATCATTATTTGGAACTAGCTGATAAATATACCTAAATACTACAAAAATGTATTTAAGAAGTATTCGATAATTTTCTGTTTTGGCGTAATAACCGCTGGTAGGGCGTCCTACCCGATGATGCAGGCGAAGTAAAATGTCCCTTAGAATTAAGGTGACACTCTACAAAACTTGCATACGCCCCGTCGTTACCTATGGAAGTGTAGTGTTCGCTCACGCGGCCCGCACTCACTTAAAATCATATCAAATCATTCAATCCCGTTTTTGCAGGATAGCCGTCGGAGCCCCGTGGTTCGTCAGGAACGTCGACCTCCATGACGACCTGGACTTACAGTCCATCAGTAAGTATCTACAGTCGGCGTCGATGCACCACTTCGATAAAGCGACGACACGAGAACCCTCTCATCGTGGCCGCCGGTAACTACATTCCCGATCCTGCGGAAAGAATGGAAAGCAGTCGACGTCGCCCAAAACACGTCATCTCGGATCCTCCCGATCCACTAACGGTGCTTCTAGGTAGTTCAAGCACCGGTCACCGTTCTCGCCGAACCCGTCGCTTGCGACGAAGGGCTCGACGAGTAAATTAACTCTGAGACACAGCCCACTGAGTTTCTCGCCGGATCTTCTCAGTGGGTCGCGTTTCCGATCCGGTGGTAGATTCTGCGAAGCACGGCTCTTGCTAGGGTTCGTGTTAGCAACGTCGTCAGGTTTGAGCCCCGAGAGCTCGCCTACTAGTTAAGGTTACGCTGAAATAGCCTCTCAAGGCTACCAGCTTAGGTAGGAATAAAAAAAAAGGTAGGGCGTCATGAGACCGGATGGCTAAGTACCACCACTCTGCCTATTTCTGCCGTGAAACAGTAATGCGTATCGGGTTGAAGAATAATGCAGCATACTGTAAGTTTAGACTTAAAACTAATATCTCAAGGTAGGTAGCGGCATTTTAGTTGCTAATGTATACGGGCTCCGGTAACCACTTAATAGCAATGGACCGTGAGCTCGTCCACTCATTTAAGGAATAAAAAGATAACCTAGCCATCCATTCTATCGTAAAAAAATATTACACACCTTATATATGCACGGTGTAGCAAACTTGGCGTTATATCAGTTTACCAAAAATACCACTCAAAATAATGCATCGTACTGTTTACATAACAAAAACAGCTTATTTGTTTCTAAACTCATAATTATTTCAATCAATAGAGATAAAATGTAAAGTTACCCGGTGCTCTTAGTTGAAAATTTGTTGTCATTGAGGAAACATACTTTAATATTAACACAAGCGTGGGTAGGCTTATATTGTATTTCTTAACAATAGTTGCATTTTTCGTACACAGCAAAGGCGAAAGCATGACGCTGTACACTATAATTTTTTATTTTGTTTTAATGATATTTTCTAGGTAAATGGTGTGCAATAGGGTGGAATTATTTGTATAAAATTTATTATGGCATGAAATGGAATGAAAATTTTATATGTAACGAATAAAATGAAATTAACAATGAAATTTGAATCAGTAAAATGTACGGATTTTACTTACCATTATTACTTAAGTTTCTACAAAAAAAAACGTTTGTATAAATTTTGGTCATCCTGATTTCGCCCAATAATAAAGGAATAGACCGGCGCATCACAACATTTTCCATTTTATTCATTCGGCTTGGTTTAAAGGTCTCGCATCAGAGCCATGCTGTTTAAAAAAGTTATCAATTGGTCGGTTTTGAGTTTTTGACGTCTGTTGACTATTGTATCTTGGAGTTGATATTTTTGATCGGTGTTGTTGTAACTGTATTTTGTTTGTTATTGAAATTGCTACATTTTATCTCTTATCATGACTAAAACTCGTACGAAATTATTTTGATGACGACATTACATGGCTAATAAACGATAGTTGAATTTAAAAATACATCATGGAAGAAGAAATAAGATGTAATGTTTGTAAAGAATTCTACAGAGAACCCGTGCTTCTACCTTGTGGACACGCTGTGTGTCGGGTCTGTGCAGAAAAGTTGCAGGTTCACATTCACGATAATGAAGGTTCAGGGTCGTCTAATGATTATCAAGAAGCGGATAAAGCATCAGTGTCGAGTGAAACTGACAGTGGTGTGGTATGTGGATCAAGGCCTAATAGTTACGCGGGAACCCCGGCTGTGCCAGCATATTCGTCTGCTGCATTCAGTATTACATGCCCTTCGTGTAGGAAACTAGTTTACTTGGATGACAACGGAGCTGATGGACTCCCTCCATTTCGCGTTATGCGAACAATTGTTGAACGTTTCGGGGGCGTCACTGGTGCACCGCCTGCAGAAGAAGCATGTCAAATGTGTGAAGGAGAACGTCGTGCAGCTGTTGTCCGTTGCGAACAGTGTTCAGTGAGATATTGTGCTGCATGTCGTGATGCCTGGCATCCTACTCGTGGCCCATTAGCACAACATGAATTACGGGCTCTAGGGACTACTTGCGCTGATCATGGTTTTCCTCCAGTACAATATTGTGTAACATGTTTAATTCCCATCTGTCAACGGTGTCTTACTGAGAGACATTCAATACATGAAACACAACCTTTAGCAACAGCAGCAAGGACTCATAAGGTATTTATTATATATAGTCTACCCATTACTGTTATATTAATTTGGTGAAATCAATAAGTTCATTAGCAAAGAAAAAGTACTTAACCAGCTGCCTAAGCTGGTTGACTCTGCCCCTGGCGTTACTAATTTCCATAGGTGACGGTAACCACTCACCTTCAAGTGGGCCGTATGCTTGTATGCCTACAGGGGCAATAAAAAAATTTATGGCCAGGCATCTTTTGTTACTTGTATGCTATTTTTTTTTGTAGACTGAATTATCACAATCCCTGCAGCATTTATCAGAACAGGCCAAATCCATGACAGACTACATACAAAAAGTAAAAGCTTCTGGTGAAAAAATTAATGTAAGTCTAAACATTAAATATATTCTTAATAGTTATCTTAGTAAATATAATAATTATTAAGACATATTTAAGTCCTGCTATTAAATAAACACATTCTTTAATTAAACAGAATAGTGCATATAATGTAATCAATTCTTTACTTATCAAATAAACCTTTGAATCCCTCTAATTATAGTTATGGATCATTCACTCTAGCCTCTTTAATTCTATTAGCTGTTTTAATACAATATAGTTAGAATTTAAACAACTAAGAGCCCTGACATTGGAGAAACAGCAACCTAAACCTTCTCCAAACTTATATACTAAGGTACACAACACTGTGGTATCTAAGGGCATCTGTAACTACTGGACATCAGGTTGCCGGGAGTTCAAAAGTCATTATAGTTATTGATATGATGATCATTAAGAAATCATCATTCACAATACCTCTTGTGCTTCTATAAATAATCTGTCTGTTATCTAATAAATAAATAAAATACTTTTCATCTGGGCTGCTGAGTACATTATATTGAGCCACTTTTCCTATGAAGTTTTACTGTCATTGTATCATAAACTGACAAAACAATTGAAAGCTTGTCAGCAAAATATACAGGATTTATGCAAAAGAATTACATTTAAACTGCATGACAACTAAGAATACTCTAATTAAAATAAAGAAATCTTTCAGGAATCTTGTGAGGAATTGGAGAAGCAAATTGACAATGCATGTGCAGAACTAACTTGTGCCATAGAAAGACGACGAGATGAATTAATTCGTGCAGCACGCAGTACCAAATCTCAGGCAATTGCAAACATGAGATCTCTTACTTCGCATGCTGCGCAGAAACTAAGAGAAGCCACTGCCCTGCTACACTTCTCTATTGAAGCATTAAAAGAACCAGATCAGGCTGCATTTCTTCAGGTAATACAATAAATGTAACCACCAATCATGTACACCAATACGTCAATTGATTGAATCAATAAAAAAAAGGTATAATCCTGATTACTACTTAATTTAAGTCCTCAAAAATGAATATAACAGAGCTAGTAGTCAAACTGAACCAATAGATTTTTTTAAATTCTGTATTTGTCAAATTTAGGAACAAGAAAGAAAATATATCTATAATTCAATTTTCGTATCGAAATAATAAAACACAATAAAAAAAAAGAAATTTGGTGTAAAAACATGATCTATAGGTTGAGACCCCAAGAAAAAGACAAAATTATACACAAATTTGTATTATGATGATGAGCTGATGAGTAAAACTTTTCACATAGCATAATTTCTTTAGTTGCATACAATGTTAATCATATTTAATAACATTAATAACACATTGTTTTGCCGTGATACATATATTTATTTTCGATTTGTCTTCAATAATGTTTGCTTTTGATTTTATAAGACTTATAATATTTTCCACTGTTCCACATAACATCTATCTTGTGTTTTAATACACAATAACGAAATTATCAGTAAGACCCATATATCAATGTAAACAATGATTACAGAAGATTATCTGCCAGTATACGGCATACATAACACAAATGTTTTATTGTATCAATCAATAGGCATTATTATCACTTAGCACACAATTCTTTGTCAGCATAAATCTAAGTGATAAATAAGTACTGAAACCATAAGATATTAAATTTGTCACATGCGTTTTTTCTGTTTCACATTCAATAAAACACAGTCTGTAAACAAAATCTGTCTTTAAAAATTTACTTGAAACTAGATACAAATATTACCTAAGAAAATCATTTCAATATAGAACATTAAATAACATTCTCATTAAAATCCTGTGTTTTTCATATCATATTACTATCGACCACAGCAAGCCTGAACATATTGTGCCATATAATTTATTGTATTATTGCTTGTGTTATCTCCAGACACATTATGCAGATAAAATATGGCAAACAAAAATCTTTCAAAATACGTTATAATATTAATATAATCTTTAATATTTATTACTACCATTTGACTTCATACAAAGAGGGCCATTGTGATTTCTTGCAGATCATTTGGAACCTCTCGGTCTACAGAGGGACTTCGGTTGTGTCTGTGTTTTGTACTATGTGGTCTAAGGAGATTGGTCTGAGCAATTGTTTGAGATGATGCTGTCATCGCTTTTTTACCATAAACCCTCCGCATTCAACTATAATGCGTTTCCAGAAATATTTTTACATACACACATACCATTCACCTATGGAATATCCATACCTCCCTAATTGTGTCTGTGTTTTGTACTCTGTGGTCTAAGGAGATTGCTCTGAGCAATTGTTTGAGATGATGCTGTTATCGCTTTTTTTACCATAAAACCTGCACATTCATCTATCATGCGTTTCCAGAAATATTTTACATACACACATACCATTCACCTATGGAATATCCATACCTCCCTAATTGTGTCTGTGTTTTGTACTCTGTGGTCTAAGGAGATTGCTCTGAGCAATTGTTTGAGATGATGCTGTTATCGCTTTTTTACCATAAAACCTGCACATTCATCTATAATGCGTTTCCAGAAATATTTTACATACACACATACCATTCACCTATGGAATGTCCATGCCTCCCTAGTTTTTCCTGAGTGCTATGACATGTCCTTTTTTTTTGTTTGTTTAATAAATAAATATAAATATTTACTGACAATCACGCCACGTTAACTGGTCCCGTGCTAAGTTCGTAAAGAACTTGTGTTACAAGTACCAGATAATAATATAATATTTTTATTATACACATACCTACATACCTAGTCAGGTCATAAATTCTGTCACATGTTTAATGTAAAATAATTAAAACAAGTTTATTGATTATGTAACCATTCATATACCAAAATGAACTTAACAAAACATAGATTCTTATGACACTAAAGTTTATCCAAATGACCTCCGTGATTTTGAATACAGGCCTTCAATCTGCGCGGCCAGTCGTCTATCGCAGCACGAACGAGGTCCATGTCAATATCGGCGGCTGCCTTAATCAAGGATGTCTTGAGTGACTCCAAATTGGGATGAGGCTTTGAGCACGCCTTTTCCTCCAAGTGTTGCCATATCTTGTAATCTAACGGATTCAAATCTNACATGATCTATAGGTTGAGACCCCAAGAAAAAGACAAAATTATACACAAATTTGTATTATGATGATGAGCTGATGAGTAAAACTTTTCACATAGCATAATTTCTTTAGTTGCATACAATGTTAATCATATTTAATAACCCATAGTTAAATATCTTATTGTGATGGAGCATACTTTACTGTTTTGCTGTGATACATATATTTATTTTCGATTTGTCTTCAATAATGTTTGCTTTTGATTTTATAAGACTTACAATATTTTCCACTGTTCCACATAACGTATATCTTGTGTTTTAATACACAATAACGAAATTATCAGTAAGACCCATATATCAATGTAAACAATGATTACAGAAGATTATCTGCCAGTATACGGCATACATAACACAAATGTTTTATTGTATCAATCAATAGGCATTATTATCAGTTAGCACACAATTCTTTGTCAGCATACATCTAAGTGATAAATAAGTACTGAAACCACAAGATATTAAATTTGTCACATGCGTTTTTTCTGTTTCACATTCAATAAAACATAGTCTGTAAACAAAATCTGTCTTTAAAAATGTACTTGAAACTAGATACAAATATTACCTAAGAAAATCATTTCAATATAGAACGTTAAATAACATTCTCATTAAAATCCTGTGTTTTTCATATCATATTACTATCGACCACAGCAAGCCTGAACATATTGTGCCATATAATTTATTGTATTATTGCTTGTGTTATCTCCAGACACATTACGCAGATAAAATATGGCAAACAAAAATCTTTCAAAATACATTATAATATTAATATAATCTTTAATATTTATTACTCTTTTATTCACCTATGGAATATCCATACCTCCCTAGTTGTGTCTGTGTTTTGTACTCTCTGGTCTAAGGAGATTGCTCTGAGCAATTGTTTGAGATGATGCTGTTATCGCTTTTTTACCATAAAACCTGCACATTCATCTATAATGCATTTCCAGAAATATTTTACATACACACATACCATTCACCTATGGAATGTCCATACCTCCCTAGTTTTTCCTGAGTGCTATGACATGTCCTTTAAACGAGATTTAAGGAAATTAGTCAGCGGTAGACGGCTTGTTGATTGTCCCTGGCAATTTTGTGGACCGTCTGTTTACTGAGGTAATAAAAAAACGTAGTTCATGAAAAAAACGCTGCTTGTTAATTTTCTATACAACAAATACTTGAATGACTACACCGAACTACACATAATATACTATGTAAATATAATATTTTCAGGTGGGCAACATTCTGTCTATACGAGCACAAGAAACTGCTGCCAATTTATGTACGTCCTTGGAGCCGCCTCCGTCTCCGCCGGCGCTTAACTTGGATATAGAACCAGTATTGCGTACAGTTAAAAGCATGAATTTTGTTGAATGTACACGTAAGTTTCCTCGTGATTATGAAACAAAAATATAAACAAAAAAATTGTCTCAGTGCTACATTAATATAATGAATGGTTTTCTTTTACGGAATGCAGCTGTTGAGAACTCAATGAAATTGTCAGGTATAACCCTAATTGTTTGTAGTTTTTAAAATATTCATGAGAAATTTAAATACACGGCGTAAATTTCCTGTTGCCTTAAAATCGTAAGAAACATCATACGAAACCGTTAATTCTGGACGTCGCATCGTCCTTAATTATGTAGCCTTGGAACGTCACGACCATTAGTAACAAATAAATGTACTGCGATTTTTATTTAATTGTGTGAGGATTTACCAGTTACTGCCAACTTTCTTTACGTTGTTGAATTTTAATCGTAACTAAGATTTTTTTCAACGTGCACTTATCAGCTAGGTATGTGTTGACTTAACAGAATCTTTCAACGTGTTTTTCACTCGATTCAAAACGTTACGTAAAATATATAATAATAACAACGAAACAGCTATTTATATGAATAATAATAATTATTATTACATGTATACATATTACATGTATGTAGATTATTATATGTATAGCCATCATACTAAGACTATACATAAATATTAAAAATCTTACGTTACGGACGTTTTTTTCCGGTTAGGGTACCCCTCCACATCGTCCCATAAGGAAATTCGTTCCAAAAATCTGATGTAATGTGAATGAGTACCGAAATATGAGTACGCTTTTATCGACACAGCACCGGGCGCTCCGGAAATGGCAGTAGAGGCTTGTGCGGCTCGCGGGTGCTCGTGCACGCTGGCCTGGAAGCCGCCGCCCGCGCCCTCCGCCGTGCGCGGATACGTACTGGAATTGGATGATGGACTCGGGGGACCGTTTCGGGTGACTACCTTTTTTTTTCCTAAGCTGAGAGCCTTGAGAGGCTATATCAGCGTAACCTTAACTAGTAGGTGAGCTCACGGGGCTCAAACTTGACGAAGTTGCTAACACGAACCCTAGCAAGAGCCGTGCTTCGCAGAATCTACCACCGGATCGGAAACGAGACCCACAGAGAAGATCCGGCGAGAAACTCAGTGGGCTGTGTCTGAGGGTTGGGGACTACCCATTCTGTTGTCAACAAACAAACCAATATTAGTTCGCTTAAATATTTAAGATAATGTTCTTGGTCATCGTTTTCCTGTCGTAGATAGTCAGTTGTCTATTTGTGCACACGGCTCAGAGAACTCACTAAGCATAAACTTAATACAGGTGCCCACGTTGAAACGTAAAGCAGTGAGGTTTGAAATATAAATGATTATTTCGATGCCTAAATAGACAGAATGTACAACCACTCAGCTTTTAACACGATTTGCCACTTGATTTTGTTTAAAAAATTCTCCCTTCGCTGTAAAAACATATTTTATGTTCACAATTTTAGAGTAAACCGTAGAATTCACTTGTGGTAAGTCCCGTCATCTTATCCATTTCTTCTGTGAAGCAGTCGTACCGTTCTGGTTTGAACAGTGCGGTACAGCCTGTATAAGCCTCTTATTCACCCATCAATGCAAGATAAAATTAAATAACAATTGGCTGCGACAACCTTATAGCAAAATGTGCGAGTAACCGTCCAGATTTTGTACAGAACTGTTGACTTTTATGTCAAAGTTCCAAACACTGGGAACTAAGTCTATATTGGTATATGATTAGTAAGAACAGAACGTATGAAAAGAGAGAACGGAGCGTTAAGATGTGAGAAAAAACGGTAAGAAAGGAAAAAGAGAATGACGGACAGACATGACAGAGAAAAAGAAAATGACAAAGACAATTAAATTTAATGAGCAAAGCGTAAAAAAGTTGTCAGATATTTTTTTATTATTATTATAGCGAAGATTTGATAACAATAAAAGTGTAACAATGGAATTGTCTTATTTTATGTGCCACGATCCTTTTCTACACTGGAATAAAATAAAAAAAATAGTTTAACATTTTTAGGAAGTGTATTGCGGTCGGGAAACCGTCTGTACAATCGACGGCCTCCATTACGCGTCGCTGTACAGCGCCCGCGTTAAGGCATTCAACGGAGCCGGCGAGGGACCCTATAGCGAAATAATAGGATTGCAAACTTCACCGGGTACATGAATTTTCATTCATTCCTTATACCACGTTCCGTATACTGGTGGTAGGACGTCTTGTGAGTCCGCCCGGGTAGGTACCACCACTCTGCATATTTCAACCGTGAAGCAGTAATGTGTTTCGGTTTGAAGGGTGGGGCAGCCGATGTAACTATACTGAGAACTTAGAACTCATATCTCAAGACGGATAGCGTCATTTACATTGTAAATGTCTATGGGCTCCGGTAACCACTTAACACCAGACGGGCTGTGAGCCTTATACTGCCATCTATAATAAATTGAGTGAAAATAGTAAAACATAGAAAGTTTTATTGCGTCAGTGGCGTGGTTCACGTGGGACGCGCGGTGCAGCTCGGGCGGGGGGGGCGGCGGGGTGTCGCTGTCGGCGGACGGCGCGCGCGCGGCGGCGGCGGGCTGGCAGCCGCGCGTGGTGCTCGCCGACCAGCCGCTGGCGCGCGGCTTGCACTACTGGACGCTGCGGCTCGACGCGTACGACGGAGACGCGGACCCCGCCTTCGGCATCGCCCGCGCCGACGTCGCCAGGGATAAGATGCTCGGTAAATGCGATATGCGTCGCGTCACGTTAATCGCCTTAGCGTTGCCGCCGCTGACTACAGTAGATTGGGGCGAATAGGGACAAATCTGGGATGTCACAATACTTTTGTCGGGTTGTTAGAGATTTAACTTTGTGGCACTGAAAATTACTTTTATTTAGTGTTTAATAATATTTTATAGTTTAATTTAGTCATCAAAGTTTTGTAAGTCATTAAAGATATTAAAGAGTTAATTACCTAAACACCTACCAACTAAATAGTGCCAGCCCTATCGAGCAACTCTATTGTCGCTATACGTAACCTGATTCACCCCAAAGCCAAGGTGAATGGGGTCAAGCTAGTTTTTTCGGTTTTTGTGTATATTTTGTAATGAACTATGTATAATAAAATTAATAACGCATCGTATATAAAAAATTAAGACTCCGGAACCATTATGATCTCCGCTTTATCACTATAACTACAGAAAAAAAGATAAAAATCAACGTCGAACTTAAAGTGTCCCCATTCCTCCCATTTCACGGTACTCCCCGAATCCTGCCCACGCAGGAACCAGTCACCGTCGACGCCCGAGACACGTCCTTACGGATCCATCACAGCTGTCCTTGAGCTGTTAGGTCCCTTTCGGAGGCGCTCGGGCAGCTGTTAGTAAATTCCACCCCTCCTGACTGAGCCTTTGCTTGCCCTACCTATCCTGGTGAAAATGGAAAGGCCTCCAGGCCACCAGAATTCCCTCGTATAAAAAGGAATAGGACTGTGTGATATTTTTAAAGCATGCAGAGGAATTAAATTCCTTGAGAATGCTGTTTCTTCTTTCTTTTAAATTATAAATTATGAGCTTTCATGTTTGTATTGACAGTTAATCTCGCACAGAGGGCTATGCATTTCTTGGACAGACATTCATACAAGGTAATCGTTTCCAAAGGAATTCTTCAGCACTTCAAACATATTGAGAAAACAGCATTAACGCTGCCATTGATGGCAAAATAAGCCAAAAGCCTCGGTCTAAATCTGATAAGATTTTGTAGCATCTCGAGATCAATGTGGAGTAAAATAATAATATTTCGACTGGCGAAACTTTTTGTTGTGTCACCAAATGTATTGGGGTTACTGGAGGCGTGGACTGCGCGTTCCGTAGCACACGCAGTCCGTACATACATATATACATAGGCTTAACGTTCAGGTAGCGACGCGCTGGGCTGGGCGATGTACATCGACGGGTCGCGGTCGTGGTTCGTGCACGGCGGCGCGCACGGCGGGCGCACTGCGGGCGGCGTGCGGTGCGGCTCCACTGTGGGCGTGCTGCTCGACCTCACGCGCGGCACGCTGCGCTTCACCGTCGACGACCATCCACAGGTCAGTTCAATTACAGAAGAGTGTCGTCGTGGCCTAAAGGATAAGACGTTCGGTGTATGCGTGTTGTGCGATGCACCGGTGTTCGAGTCCCAGGCGGATACCAATTTTTCTAATGAAATACATACTAAACAAATGTTCACGATTGACTTCCGCGGTGAAGGAATAACATCGTGTACTAAAAATCAAACCCGCAAATTTTAGTTTGCGTAATTACTGGTGGTAGGACCTCTTGTGACTCCGCACGGGTACGTACCACCACCCCGCCTATTTCTGCTGTGAAGCCGTAACGCGTTTCGGTTTGAAGGTGGGGCAGCCGTTGTAACTATACTAAGACCTTAGAACGTATATCTCAAGGTGAGTGGCGCATTTACGTTGTAGCTGTCTATAGGCTCCAGTAACAACTTAACATCAGGTAGGCTATTATTTTGTACGCCCATATATGCAATAAAAATAATAATGATAAAATAAGTAAAAATAGTGGTAATAATAGAGTTGTATCTTGACATTAATAGATTAGGTACATACAATAAGATTATTATTTTTCCAAATATGTAATATTTAAATTATTAAAGCGTTAATTACCATAGCTATTAAGGGTGAATCACCACGAGACTGCGCTATAGTTTATCCAGCTATTAATCTAATTTTCTAAATACGAATAAGCATAAACAAAACAGTTAAGTCTATTTTTCTCCAGTGTTTGTCAACAGATGTTCTTTTGTTTATCTTTATTCTATACAATATATAATATGGTTCTAAACCGTGAGATGAAATTAATTGCGGTTGAACTTCGGTCATTAGGCGAACATTATTTATGACAATAATACCTGTGTTAAGTTTTACTAGAGCCAGTATAGGATACTACGTGAATGTCGGCCATCTCGACACAAAACTTACCAGTTACAGATGAAATAATGTTCTGTCCTCACAACTGGGATAAATGTCTATTTCGCGTCAGATCCGTCTTCGAAATGAGCTCCACGGTGTTTCTCGAGCTCTATGATATGTCCTCCTTCAAACGGGGCTTGTGAAGAGTACTTAACGGTAGGCAGCGGCTTGACTCTGCCCTTGGCATTGCTGATGTCCATGGGTGACGATAACCACTCACCATCAGGAAGGCCGTATGCTCGTCTGCCTAAAAGGGCAATAAAAAAATAATTAAAAAAAACCCTTATGGACTAACCCGTATACTCATTCTTTACAGGGAGACATCGCATTCACCGGACTGCGCGGCGCCTTCTACCCCGCGGTGTCGCTGAACCGGGGCGTGGCCGTGACGCTGCAGCCGGGCCTGCCCCCGCCCGAGCGGCTCCTCTCGCAGCTCGCCGCCGAGTGAGCCGTAGACACGTGTAAGTACTGTGTGCCATGCAGTACGCGTAATATAGCACGACCGCGTACTGTAACACTGGTGGTAGGACCTCTTTTGAGTCCGCACGGGTAGGTACCATAGCCTCGCCTATTTCTGCCGTGAAGCAGTAATGCGTTTCGGTTTAGAAGGGTGGAAGGGGAGAAGACGATATGGCATTACTTCATAGAGTACGTCAAAGGCGTCTTTAGCCCACGTACAGCCCGTGTGCAATCAATACCCCAGCGCCATCTAGTAAGCGCGTGCTCAAAATGTAACAGGTTCATTGAACTGCCGAGGCCGGCGCTCTCTGACAACGCTGCGCCCACACCCTGGACCACGGGTAGAGCTGTCACTACATTCTATCTGCGATGAGTTTATCACGCTATTTTACTATTAGTAAAATACCCAAAATAGTTTTAAAGCCACTTTGAAAACATAACGATTAAAATTAATTTTCTTAACCCAGAAAAATTATGTATTTAAAATAAAGTATATGCTTTTTTTTTTGGATCGACAGTTGAATCACGAGAATGAAAAATAGAACAGACGATTTTTAGGATGTGTTACAAAATACCCTGATGTTTGAAAGGGGGGTTTTATTTATTTAACTTATTTATTTGTATTTTGGGCACTAAACCTTAATGTGTTATATATTTAAATAGTGTGTTCAATGAACAAATTGTAATGATTCCCGTAAAACAGAAAAATATTTGTTTCAAGGCGCCCTCTGCTCACGAATTGAACGATATGGCATTTTGAAATTCCCATATCTGAGTAATGAAATTACATAAATACAAACAATTTAATCATAATATTAATCAAATGGATAGTAGTTACATTTGATATATTTGTTTTCGAGAAATCGTTTGGGCACGCCATGGAATATGATATTCCATTCTCAACTTTATGTTAAATGTGAATGGGTGCATAATGTATTTAATATCACAATTAGACAGCGCCTTTTATAAAATAACTATATAGTTCGGCTTAAATAATAACTAAAAACGTTCCGAGCCCCGTCCTTGATATAATATTTAACGTTGACATTTATTCGAAGTCATCAAACTTGTTTCTGTACAATATATTATTACGAATATTCATAGTGAGTTCGAGAATTCAGTCTTATTTCGGCATACAATATAGTCTTAATAATACAAAATAAATGTAACGTGAATATTCATAGAATTTAATGAAATTAATGCGAGTGTAGCTAGGCATTTATATTAAGGAATTTCAAAATTAATATTAGCAACCAACCGCTACTAAAAATCAAACTAGTCTTATATATTCGTTGAAATTCTTATTGCCGTTTATATACTAGTGTAAAAATAGTTTTAAATTACTTTACACTTACAATGATTGGATTAGGCATTAACTTATTTTAAATTATTTATTAATTAAGTATTACACTGTGCCAGATAACATTATGTTAAAATTTAATGGTTCTAGTGTTTTAAACATATTTTTTTTCTATAAATTAATACTTAAATAAGAAAATATTTTAAGCGACGAGACTGTCATTAATTATCAATAGTTTAATATTTAATTACATTACTTTTTATTCTAAATATAAAGCACACGTCTTAAGCCAAGATTGATTAATGTTGTCTTAATAGTATATTATTAATATTTAATTACAGAATACATTACTAAATTGTAAGAATACGAAAGAAAACCTGGCAGTCTTATCGCTAAACGTTCAGACAGGTTATAAGCGTAAAATAATAATTAAATCTTGGAAATAAGTTTGTAGATTACTGTACTCTTTAATTTCCAATATTAGTTTTATAGCTTTGGTATAATTAGTCCGTACTTAAACTTAACGTAATTAATAATATTATGAAAGATCAAATACTTTTAAATTTGTATTCATAATAATCATGTTATAATTAAATAATTATTAACAACATAATCGGTCAAACAGGCTTAAAAATGTATATTAATCGTTATTTGTACTTAAACGTTGTGCGTGTGTTGGTTAAAATTTTCTTTAAATTGATTCTACATAGAGCTCTTAATCGTACTAAATAGATAACTTTTATATTGGACTAATGTACACCGTCCTTGAATGTATAAATTTGAAAGGTTTTTTTTCTTTGTCATTTTGACAGCTTTCACGGCCGACATCTTTATATTCAACGGTAAATTCGTTTCGTTGTGTGTTTTTTTCCTTACTGTCGAAGTCGTCTTCTTTTTTTACTTGAATTTGCTTAATAATTAGTGTCAGAAGTGCAAGCTGCTACTGCAGGAAGCAGAGAAACATATCAACTGATTGCTGATTTAATGATTACATGAAATTATTGACCAATATACAGCTCGCTTGTTCAATTGGANCATCTTTATATTCAACGGTAAATTCGTTTCGTTGTGTGTTTTTTTCCTTACTGTCGAAGTCGTCTTCTTTTTTTACTTGAATTTGCTTAATAATTAGTGTCAGAAGTGCAAGCTGCTACTGCAGGAAGCAGAGAAACATATCAACTGATTGCTGATTTAATGATTACATGAAATTATTGACCAATATACAGCTCGCTTGTTCAATTGGACATGATTTTGGGCACTGAGATATCTGAAGATATTAAAAATACATTACAATATACAACACCGTTCCTCCCCTCCTCCTCATATTTTGAGTTTTTCGATATTAATAATATCTATTTATTTATTTAAAAAAAGTACTGCCACATCACAAACATTTAACATTGCAAATAACTTAAACTATTTAATGTATGGCCTGATGCATGTGACAATAATGGCGTACATAACATTATCTGCACATTCAAAGTATAATAAGTATATATACGCGAGTATGTCTATAGTAAGATTTTTTGAAATTTCGATTTAAAAAATGAATATAGAACAAAAAAGACACACACACACACACACTTCTATGCTTATAAAACTATGTAATTCTAGCAATAGTAGAAACCACTTTATGAATGAAATATGTACTTAGAGTTCAGATATACTAATATGACTGATTCAATGATTAAGATAAACAGTTATGTGATCCTCTGCTATGCAATAAAGGCATCGAATTTATATCTGAAACATGTAATGTAATCGTATGCTAGGCTTAAGAAACTTTGTATCATTAAATTTACGTAATATGTTTTGTTATTTTTAGTAATAAACAATGGATTCAGACGTATAAAAGACAACATTATAATATAATATGTAGTTAGTAGTTATATGAACCAAGTTTTCTTCACGATATTTAAATATGTACATGTAACGAGAACTGAAACTCAACTAAGTAGTTAGCATTTGTGTATATTCGAATCAATTAAAACGCGCTTATAATTATTAGACTATAATAATATACCATATACTATATACTATAATTATTATATCAAGTTGGATTGTGAATTTTTTAATTAAAAATCGATTTTGTGTGTTTACTCATTTAGTTGTGCTTATACACTGCCGCTTCTGAGTTGAGTACCTGATTGAATCTAAAAATTATTATTGCCCATTAATGAGTATATTTTTACCGTAATTTAAGGTATATCGTGAGACAATAGAGCCGCTAGACACACACAACCGTTGTATCTATTTCGGGGGATGAAATATTCAGACATACATACAGGATGAGAATTTGGTCGCATATTTCAAGTGGTTGGAATTGGCGTTATGATGTCCATGGGCCCCGTTACCCACTTAACAACCGGTGGGCGGTGAACTTGTTCTATATACGGGAAAAGTATACGTACGTTGCATAATATGGTTCGGTTATATGCAAGAAACTGATTGATGTTTTTTCTGTACTATCATATTCATTTTAAATTCAAATTGTGCTCCCATAGGTTTTTACAATTATAATGAGCCGTCACAATGCGTGAACTTCGTAACCTCTTTATTTCGAATATCAATGGTTATGAACAATCTATTTTATTTCAAAACCTTTTGTAAACTAACAACAAGCAAGTATGTATAAAGTTGTAAACATTTCAAATAATTTTATTAATTTAGTTTCGAGTAAAATTGTGTCCCTACAGAATTAAAAAAATGGATAATCAATAAAAACACATAAAATAGTGTTCTCCGTGCAGATCACCAATAGTAGCGTATAATGACAATCATAATTTACAATAATTTTTTTTGTTTAATGTATACGCAAATTTATGGATTGGAAATTGTAAGCACCCCTATTGTACATAATAACGACTGATTTTTTTAATTAAATGTTTTATTACGAACTGTCAGCTGTTTTTTAATACATAAATGTGAAAAAAACAACTATACGTAACGTACATACGACCATAATTAACGAAAACAATATTAAACTACAACATTGAAACTACTTTTAATTCATTATATTATTATTATCTAATATATTTAAATTGTTACGCGCTGAGGTTCAGGATAATAAATAAATGATCCACCAAAGTACAACTGTATTTATCACCATAGATTATACACATAATATATATTTATCACTTAGAATACACACAGAACACTTTAAAATTCTCAATTCGCTTCTTCTGCTTCGCTTCAGGTGATCCGTTCGCTGTTTCGCTTCAAGTAGTAGTTCCTATTTCTGACTGACTGCATTTTTTTTCCTACCTAATCTGAGAGCCTTGAGAGGCTATTTCAGCGTAACCTTAACTAGTAGGTGAGTTCACGGGGCTCAAACCTGACGACGTTGCTAACACGAACCCTAGCAAGAGCCGTGCTTCGCAGAATCTACCACCGAATCGGAAACGCGACCCACTGAGAAGATCCGGCGAGAAACTCAGTGGGCTGTGTCTGAGAGTTAATTTACTCGTCGAGCCCTTCGTCGCAAGCGACGGGTTTGACGAGAACGATGACCGGTGCTTGAGGTACCTAAAAGTTAGTGGATCGGGAGGATCCGAAATGACGTGTTTGGGGCGACGTCGACTGCTTTCCATTCTGTCCGCAGGATGGGGAATGTAGTTACCGGCGGCCACGATGAGAGGGTTCTCGTGTCGTGCCGCTTATCGAAGTGGCGCATCGACGCCGACTGTAGATACTTACTAATGGACTCTAAGTCCAGGTCGTCATGAAGGTCGACGTTCCTGACAAACCACGGGGCTTCGACGGCTATCCTGCAAAAACGGGATTGAATAATTTGAAAGGATTTTAAGTGAGTGCGGGCCGCGTGAGCGAACACTACACTTGCATAGGTCATGACGGGGCGTATGTAAGTTTTGTAGAGTGTCACCTTATTTCTAAGGGACATTTTACTTCGCCTGCATATCATCGGGTAGAGTCGTCCTAGAATGAAGGCGGCACGGTCGCGTACCGCCTTAATATGAGGGCGGAATGTCATCCTTCTGTCGAGGGTGACGCCTAAATATTTGACCTTCGGGGCCCACGGTATGGGCTGGTCGAACATCGTGATTGGGCGAATGGCGGAGACGGAGGTGTCGACGCACCTAGACGGGAGAGGGATGCTCAACGTGGTGTTCGGAGGGCGACAAATTTGGGATATTCCCTATTTCATCGAATGGATTGTAACTATTTAATTTTCAATTCTTTTCTTTACCATTCGTGCCATGAGCATAGTGTGATAGACCAGTGGGAATTCTTCATTGAGAATTTTTATAATTGAGCTTAAAATGAAACATAAATATACACAAGGATATCACGATGTCCTATTCATCACGATATCCTTGTAGTTGCAACAGAAAACATGCAAATACTCATATAAAAAGATAACTTAAAGACTTGTTTATAAGTTCTTGTCTGAAGTTGCTGTAAGATTCGCTTAAAATCTTAAAAGCATCAATACATGCAGCATATCAGACATAGATTTAGGTATATTATTCAAATGGTTTCCCTGGAACCAGAGAAAACAATGAAAATGGTTTAACATTTAAAGCTTAATAATATAAATTCGTGCATTTCTTCAATGTTTGTCACCACACGTGAAAAGCAAATTAGCGATAAAAACTCGAGAACATACAAGTCTTCTTAGTGAGTTTTTTAACGTTTTTTAGCGTAAAAGTTAACTGAAATTTGTATGGAGTTGGAACGTTTGCTGCTAGGGGCGCTGTTCCAACTGGGTACAAATTTGAGTTAGCTTTAACGCTATCGAGAACGTTAAAAAACTCGCATTAAGCACACAGTTCTACAGAAAAAAGACGGGATGAATTGATAACCTTGTGGGGGTCTATTAATAATAGATTATTTCTGACTATAGTATGAGCGAAACCCCGAGTAAAATTATTATATAACTACTAATACATTATAAATCCCAAATTGTACGAAATTAATTTTAATTATAAAAAAATTGTTTTAAGAACTTCTTTTTAAGCTGTTAACTTTTACAATATGTGTATTGGCCGTTTCCAGGGCGTCTTGGACTTCTTGCAAATAGGAAAAATATAATATTTAATAAAAGAGAACAATGGCGTGAAGAGTTTTATTTTTTGGTCAACAATTTTATCACTTTTTTGTGTATATATATATAATATATATGTTTAATATATCTTGTGAGGTTTTATTTTAATAATAACAACTTGAACTAATTGATATGCTGCATTTTTTACATAAACATTTACAGAAATTTACTTTTCAAAATATCAACAGAAAGCTGAAGCGAAACATAACTTTAGTCAGTGAATTCTATTGTAATATGTTAGTTACTACACTAAAACTTCAGTCTGCTAACTTATAATGTTACAGTTACAGGCGGAAGACGTCACAAACCATTCTGATTATTTCAATGAACATACATATTTTACCTTATAATTTCTATCACAGATAATTTTCAGCAACAATGAATTTTCATTAAGTTTTAAGCACTGCATTACAATCAATCAAATTGTAACAAACTGTGTACATACTGTTACTTCACATTTAAGTGCATTTAAAATTGACTAAGAATAATAATCCAAATCAAATACTGTATGTACCCTTTTTTTTATTCAAATAAAGATTTATCCGAATTTTAGTTGTGATACCATTTTCTGACCAAATTTAACTCTTCACTTGACATCCCGAAAAGTTTAATCCCCAGAGAGCAAAACATTTGCTTTATTGTAATGAAAACTGAAAGCTCTCAAAATAATAACCCCCAAATAGAGTGGAGAATACCATATATCTGCAAGCCGTCACAGAATAGTGCATTCCCCAATCTCGTTAAAATAGTCACAGATTTCAAATTATTCCAGGAATGTAAAATATTTACTTGTTTGTAAAGGCAGATTCGTTTTGTTGGGCTTTGTAGAACTTGATTGTTATTTATTAGTTTTTCATTTTACTTATTGGTTTGAATAACTTGATTCTCTCGATTCAATTACTTTAGCCCATCAACATCAAATGCCATACATCTACTGTGACTATGTAAGCCGCTTTCGAAATAATATTTAAAATAGCTGTTCATGACTCTAACCGGACACAAAGTTAGCCTGCAACAGACATTCAGTTTGACCAACACAGCAACCCTTCTGAATAATTAGTTTATCAAACTGAAGCTGCTTCATGACATTTTTCATGGAAAACGGCTTGAAGTTATTTAACATTGTTTCAAGCGGTCAGAAACAACATTTTTTTACACTGTTTTTTTTCTAATTCCACCAAATTTCTGATGTTTCAGCCAGACTTACATTGCCTATCCGTAACCAAACGTGTATTTTTTTTGTAAAAAAAAATTAATCCGGTGCTGGCTCAAACTTCATGTTTTTACGGATAGACATTTATAATATACATTTATGAAAGTCTACCACAATTTATGAAGAGATCATGGACAAATTTAGGTAGACTTTACCAGAAAACAAACATTTTCTTTTTATTTCTGTGGCTTAACGCACATTGTCCAACACGAACAAAAAGCATCAAGATAATCCCTTAAATTTGATGTTACGTTTATGTACACTAAAAAAGTGACCATTTTGAGGTCAAAGTCTTATTTCACGATAAACTACATTCACACGCACATTTTTTGTTACATTAAATTCATTTCACTTTTTACAAATAAGTTTTTTGTAGTTAAACTGTTTTCATTCACAAGTCAGCAAGTCCAGATATTAGAAGCGTGCGCAGAGCGCGAACGTATCAACGCGGCGCAGACGGCACGGCGTTACTTGTCGCCCAGATCTTCATCTTCCGGACGCGCTACATATAGCGCAGGATCTATCACTTTGGGAATTGGCTTGATTTCAGTACCCAGTTCTTGTTCGATACGATGTAGTGCAAAACGATCATCATATGTGATTAAGTTTATAGCAATACCAAGGTGCCCAAAACGTCCAGAGCGTCCTATGCGATGAAGATATGTCTCTGCCATTCGAGGAAAATCAAAATTGATAACGACATTAACTGCTTGCACATCAATACCTCTAGTGAACAAGTCTGAACACACTAAGTTACGGCAGAGCCCAGCACGAAAGTCGTGAAACACACGATTACGATGAGCTTGTGCCATTCGTGCGTGGATGTAGTAGCAACAATATCCTAACTCTGTTATCTTCTTGGCTAACAACTCCACCCTTTGAGTTGAATTACAAAATATTATTGACTGATTTATTTGCAACTGAAACAATTGATAAAATATAAAATTGTTACTTATTATTAAAAATCACATTTTTGTATATCTTTAAATTGTACCTTTGAAAAAAGTGTGTTAAGGCAATGCACTTTTTGTCTTTCTTGAACAAATGCATAGTACTGTGTTACACCCTTCAATGTTAATTCTTCCATGAGATTTATTTCATAAGGTTCTTTCAAATGCTTTTCCATAAATTGTTTTACACTCAGGGGGAAAGTTGCAGAAAACAGCAAGATTTGGCGTTCCTTAGGTAATCTAAAATCCATCAATAATGTTTTTAACTCACACACTGTATTTGAAATTATGAGATGGCACATGACATTTATTTTGAGAAGCACTATTTAGCATTTCTTGGTCACTGAATTTGTTACACATGAAACTAACAAACACTAACCTTGAAATAACCATATCCAGCATGCCCTTAAAGTCTTGTGAAAGAAGTTTGTCTGCTTCATCAAGAACTAACATCCGGCATTGATCCATTTTGGCCACCTGCTTATCCATGAGATCAATCATACGCCCAGGTGTGGCAATAATCACTTGTACTAGAAATAAAGTGTATATTCCATGAATATTTTCTATTTTGAAATTATTTCCATTTCAATTTGTGTATCTATATTTACCATTTTGATAAATACGCATTATATCATCTCGAAGGTTTGTGCCTCCTGTAGTAACCATTACACGAATGTCTGTGTGTTTTGCCAGTTCAATACAAATCTGTGATGTTTGGAGTGCCAACTCTCTAGTTGGTACAACAATTAAAGCTTGTATAGTATCCTTTTTAGGATCAACCTAAAACAATTCACTCTTGTAATTTCAATAATTACACAGTCTTGTTTTAAAACATTGTTTTTTTTAATCAGTTCTGTTTTGTCTCACTTATAAAAAGTGAAGGGGAATCCAAATATTTCATCATACATTAAAAACATAAAAATGAAAACTATTGTTACATATAACAAATTACCTGTTCCAAAACTGGAATACAATAAGCACCAGTTTTACCAGTTCCATTCTTAGCTCTTGCAAGTACATCTTTTCCACTTAGGGCAATAGGAATTGAGGCCTCTTGAATAGGAGATGGCTTCTCCCATCCCTTTTCAAAAATACCCATCAACAATTCTCGCTTCAAACAAAACTCTTCAAACTCATTGCCTCTAGTATCTGTGACATCCTAGAAACGAAATTTGATTATTATGTCCACTATAATCTAAATATATTCTTAAAATGATGTATGATGATGATCTATAAGAATGATCAATCACAAATATGATCTAAAAAATGAAAAATCAATATTTTATATTTCCAATAATCAGAATATACCATTGGATTTATGAGATTGCATAATTAAATAAAGCTAACTACATATGCTGCTAAGTGTTTTGAAAAATCAATAAGGAATACCATCATTACTATGTGGGCATCAAGAACTGAGGTACTCTTTCATATTAATTACTATTAAGGCAGACAATAGAAATCACCTAATTCATTAATAGTGTAGCTTAAAGACACAAAATTCTTTTACAATAGGATTAATTTTATTACAACTGCATTATAGACATGTTATGATAAAAAAAATCCTAAATAAATACAAAATGTTTAAAGTAGTAATTAATGTAGCATTGGAGCTATTTAAACAGAATTGAATTCTGTTTGTCAACAATGTATTAGATTGGAGATTGTAAAGACAAAAATCACTTATAATTAAATCAACCAAATACTTTTTCTTTTACTTTAACAGAATAAAACAATTCAAGAACTATACTTCCCGATAAATTTTATTTTTGTTTGTTGTTTAAAAGCAAACAAGCAAGCTTGTTGGAAATTTAAATTTTCAGTGTATAACTGGATTATTCGTGTATAACAATAATGCAATTGTAGAATACCACAAAATGTTCTAAAGTTGTTTTTAAATTGTTTTTTGACTGTCTAAATTCCAATGACTATTGTATGTGGGCCGTAATTTCTAGTAACTAAGCCAACTTACACTAGTCTTTATTCTTCTGTCTTTTGGGGGTATTTTTAATTTTGATTTCCAACCAACGTCGTCGATGCTTTTGTCGACCTCTCTGAAAAATGCGTTTACATGATTAGAATATTGCTTCGTGTGATTCTACATGCAGTTAGCATGACAAAGGACATTTTATTAAATTTATACTTACCCTTTAGTTTGACTGATACTATTTCCGACGTGATTACTTGAACTAATTCTATTTTCGGTCATCATTTTGCCAAATTTATCCCTAGCTAGGGACGACTAAAATTAGAAACTTATAATCACACTAATTATTATTTGTCCAAGTCCAACACTAAATAAATTCTCTAAATCACTTTTAGACACGTATATTAGTCAGTTTATCACGTTCACCAAGTATTTCAGAATAGCTGAAACAAGAGGAACATATTTTTATATTAGATAAGTATATTAGAAAACCCGTTTCGGTCTTTTGAAAACGAAGATTACGAGACGCGTCAACAAGCTATATGACAAAGTAAATAAATCCCGTTATGAAGTGATTACTCGATAAGTTATTAGAACTAATAATGAGCTCAGTATATAGAAGTATTATAATAAATTAATGTTTACCAAAAGTTAAATGAAAAGGNGAACATATTTTTATATTAGATAAGTATATTAGAAAACCCGTTTCGGTCTTTTGAAAACGAAGATTACGAGACGCGTCAACAAGCTATATGACAAAGTAAATAAATCCCGTTATGAAGTGATTACTCGATAAGTTATTAGAACTAATAATGAGCTCAGTATATAGAAGTATTATAATAAATTAATGTTTACCAAAAGTTATATGAAAAGGAGAGATTGAAAAGATAACAAAAGATTGTAAACTGAACTCAGTTATGTTTTTTTAATATGGCCGCCATCGCTTCGTTTAATTTTACTTTGTTTGTGAGGAAAAGACCTAAAAATTAATAAACTAAAACACTTCCAACTTTGAGATTAATACTGTTATAAAATATTGTTGTTAATTACCTAGATAAAAATTTAAAAAAGGTGACGACACTCGATACTCAACGACGACATCACAAGAGTTTACTCAACCAAAGACAATAATACACTTTTATTTTCTATTTCTGTATGTTGCTTGTTGCCTATGTTGGCTCCCTTGATTTCTTGAAAATATTTAAAACCATAAACATTTTTCTGGTCTATCTATTGTGTCCACCTAGTAAAAAGAACGTTACCTACACAAGACTTTCTTTAGAGTGTTTCTAAGCTTTAAATGGAAAAGTGCGATGAAATTAGAAATTATGTCTTCAGTATAATCATCAGATTATAGGAATTCGTAAAAAATCTAATTAATTTTTTTAACATAACCAGCTATTTCAATGCTGATGCACTTTCTCAGGCATTATTATGTTTATATTCCACTAGTACAACAGCAAAATTATAAATTGACTAAATAAAACAGTTTTCAATTCACTGGTGGTATGGCGTATTATAACCTCACAGGTGTCCTAAGTATTACCCAACTTATTTCTGGCACGAAAAGTTATGCCTTTTGACATGGAAGGTAAACTCGAGACTAGAATCTCGAGGTTTAATAATTTAGTGCTTCGCCGTGTTTAAGCGTTTAATAATGACATATTACAATTCAACATTTGTAAAAGTGTAAACAGTCTTTCACTTTAAAAAGTCCATTGAACTCTCAATAAATTCCTGCCATTTCACTGAGAGGTTATTTTTCATTTTACACAATAGCCACGCTATTTTTCAATCATACCTCATTTTACTCCATTTCATTTCATTCTAGAATGATTACATTTTTTTTACTTTGGTGGGAGGACGAACTCACGGCCCACCTTGTGTTAAGTGATTACCGGAGCCCATAGACATAGTCAACGTACATATAACCACTTACCTCAAGATATGAGTCCTAAGGTCTCAGTTATTACAGTATGACTGCTCCACCTTTCAAACCGAAACGCATAGCTTTTTCACGGCAGAAATAAGCAAGGTAGTGATACCTACCCGTGTAGACTCACAAGAACTACCTACCACTAGTAAAACCCACCGGTAGTAAACCCACCCAAACATTTTACTCTCAAACACAAAAAGCACTGTTTCCGCCTTTGAGTGAACTTGCGGGATTTGCTTTATTTTGCCTATTTAGTGTTTCTTCGGGCTTAAATGCGTAATAACGGTGCTTTATTAACTGCTTAGTATTTGTGAAAGTGCACAAATGTAGGAAAATAAAACAAAGCCTATGGACATAACTTCTCGGGATCCTCCAAAAAGTCCACTGAAATAGTTTCAGTAAATGGCCACCATTTTACTGAGATGTATATTTCATCCCATATCATCTCATCTCATCTCATTTCATTTCATTTCATTTCATGTTTCATATTAATTAATTAACTTCATTTTATTTCACTTCATATTATCATTTTTCATCTATTAAAATATATATATAAAGAATTAGGTTGTATGGTATGACACATTTGCCTTTTCATTTGGAAAAATAAAACTACTGTTACTGTCAATGTCTTATTGTCAATTGTCATAACATAGTACAAAAGTATGTTATGATAGTGGTTAAGATATATTAAAAATGGGTCAACATTCTGATAGTTATTAAAAGCACTAGAATTTTATAATTGTAAAGATAATAATTACCCTCTTTGTGATTAATATTATTTGCTTAATAATTTGTAAAAATAATAAAACATCACCGCACGCTAAATACACAATGTTAGTTATTTTTTGTTATCACTCATGAATTCCTATTTGCTTGTATTTATGTAAGGTCAGTTATTAAATTTGATTTTTATTTTAGGACTGAATATTGGAAATCACAAGCTCGGAAATACTGTGAATTTTGTAAATGTTGGTTTGCTGACAATAAAGTTGTACGTTTTGTTTTTTATGTACGAGACATGCTCATAAAACTGAATAAACAAGATCTATATACATTTTCAGTCAACATCATTCCACGAAAATGGCAAAAAACACAAAGATAAGGTCCAAGAACATATTTCGAAACTTAGTAAAAAAAGTGCAAAAGATTTCAAACAAAAAGAAAAAATGGATGATGAAATAAAAAAAATGGAGGCTGCTGCTATGACTGCATACATAAAAGATGTTCAGAACAATGCAGATTTAACTTCACAGGTTAATAGGTTGTGTTAATACATTTTCATCTATTTATAAGATTCAGTTCATCTTTTCAGTCACCCTACTAAGATAAAGAGTTAGGCAACATGAAGGTATATTGGACACAACAACCTTCATTTAAGTTTTAGTGGCAATATAATATCTGGCTTATCTACTAATTGCCTATATAATAAAATTATTCAATAAAAAAATATTAAATGAACAACCCAACCATAAAGTTTTTAACACAATAAAAATTAAAATTTGTTAGAGACATTACTCAAATTTGTGAAAAAAAACATTTGCACGAAAGGCATTGTTCAGATTTCCAAATAAATTTTAGATTAACTTAAAGGTGAGATGTTAAACACACGGCCAACCTGCTAGCTTTCATTAAAGATCTAAAGAATAAAGACATGTTAGGACCAGGAACCAGGACATATTGCATGTTTTATATTAAAGCCAAAATCATTTGAGAGCTCTTAGACTATTCCAGACAGTAACAAATTAATTTCAATTCATTATTTTACTGTATTTATTGTATGTATTTATGAAAAAGTATAGTCACACATTTTATCTGCCCTCATTTATCATAGTCTTTTGCTACTATCAAACTGCAAATTATTATATTTCAACTTAATTGTTTATTATTAATGCAAAACATCTATAGAATATAAACCAAATGTTGGGGGGAGATGGAAGTAATAAAAGCAACCCAAAAATTGTGGTCAGCGAGATAGGAACCAAATCTGAACCTATTTGGCATGAAGTGAAGAATCAAGATGGTAGCTCTTATTACTGGAATACAATTACAAGTGGTAATTATTAAAATCACCTAAATATTTCCTTTTTGGGTAAATACAGTTGTTTCCTATTGTCTTAAAAATAAATAAAAATTAAATTGATTCAATTTTTTTGTTAAACTCAATATGGATCAGTTAGGATTATTCTATTTTAATTAAATCGAAAGTAAAAGTAAATAGAACTGCATTCACAAAATGACGTTTATATTCGGTATTAAAGAATTCTAAGAAAGTCAGTTCACTGTTATCACCTGAACATCCCTATTTTATTTGAGATATACTGCTGAATTATTTCGAAAAAATCAAAATTTGATTAAACAAAATATTCTTATATATTCTTTTTCTCTCAGAAACAACATGGGAACAACCTGACGAATATTTTTCAATTGTTGAACAAGAAAAGAAAAAACATAAAGAAGAGCAAGCAGAAATAAAGAAACAAAATTTAAAGTAAGCATATTTTATTAGAGAAGCACTTTGTAGAAAACTGTTATCAGAACTCATATGTGACAATAGAACATGAATATCACCAATATCAATAATCCACTACACATTATATGCAAATCAATGTCTTTAAACTCCCCATTTTCGGTGTGTGATTGAAGGTTCTTCAGAGCACTAACCCAGCTCCATCAATATATTCTGCATTCCTCTCTGAGAGCTTTCAACCCGGTTTATAGTGTATTTACTTCTGTGTATTCCTTTTATTTTTCTTTATATGACTATGAAACCTCATAGCCAATCCAGTATTTAGTTGTTACCGGAGCCCATAGGAGATATTAGGACGAACACGTTTACGAACAATCACATTTAAGAAAACTTGCGCATGCAAACTCAACGCCAATTTAATATATACATTATTCTTATCATTTTGCGTTTGGATAAATAAATGTTAATTGATTAACAGAAAAGAAAAACACAAGGAAGCCATTAAAGAAGTCAAAGCACACATGGCACGCGAGAAGATGAAGGAGAGAGCAGTGAAAAAGGATGAATCGGTGCTGACCAAGAGTGCAGTTGACTACGGTCCGGCTCCACGCGCCTCAAAACCGTATGGAACATGGACAGAAATTGTTAAAGAGTAAGGATTTTTAAACGTGCTTGTTGTGCTTTCTTGCTGAATGTCTTTGATTCATAAGTAAATGCCATGCTCAAACTGCGAGACTCTGAAATTTTGAGAAATGAAATGACATAATTAACGTTTTACTTTTACGGTTTAGTCTCGCATTTTTTACTGTCTTTATATTATTTCCGAAGTTCCAATACTTTACATTTTTTGTAGTTTGATTAAAATGACAATAAAAACGCAGTATTAAACCGTAAAAGTTTTAATTACGTACACCATTTTTTTTAAATTCTATTCCTAGCTGATGAAAAACCGTGGAATCACTTGCATAGAAAATGGTATTGCTATGTCATATTTATTTAAACCTTAGCATGTGTATTTATTGATGCCATAATAAATTGAAGAACATTTTGTTCCACCGACGGCTCTCATATTAAAAAAAAAAAATTATAGTAAATAGTAACTATAAACTTATTTTAGACCAGCAAAAACCGTTGACCTTCAGCTACCGAAGACAAAAGAGTTACCTCCGCCACCAGTTGTCGTGGAACCTGAAAAGTTTCAATTCAAGGAGAAACGTGTTGAAACCCTGGGCGAAGGCCCCGTCGAGTTCAAAAAACGAAAGCTTAATAATACAAAGCGTAATATGAGACAGAAAGTAGACGATGAATAATTAATGAATAAAAAGTATTTTTTAAATTTTATTTTTGTTTTTATTACTATTTGACGTGGCCGCTGGATGTTTGATTTGATGCTACTGTATCCATTTGTGACATACGGCTTAAGAGTTCTCATTGTCGATGATGGATGGTAGAGGGTGATCTCGTAGAGGCGGATACCACCTACTTACCTCCCGTGAAGCATGCAAAAAAATGCTTTGATTAAGGTTAAGGGACTAATCCGTCGTTTTTAAGTCATCATTCAAAATATGCCACACGATTCTCGGTGTAATTGCCCTAAATAAAATATTTTGCTTACAGATAGGAATTGTTCAAATTTTTTCTTCACGGCATTGATCGTCTTTTAGTACCCAATATTACGTTACTGGCTAGTTTTTCTGTAACAAACGTTTCAATTCAGTTATTTTTATCACAAGACTCCATTTTAATATCATAAGAATATTTGAGAAAGACTGGCCCTCCAATGCAAAAAAAACAATAAATTCACATAATCCACCTGACAAGAACAGGTTCTAAATGCAACTAAATTTTATTTATTGTAACAATACGTTTGTACATACGTCAGTTTGTGTATTTTTTTATATCTCATGTTCATCACGAAGGTATTAGTGAAAAATGTTCAGTACATTAATGCCTAGAGCAAAATGATAAGCGATCCATTTAATTATCGAATTAGTTTCTAACTGACTTGTTTCTGAATTGATTTCATTTTACATATATTGAGATCTTTCTGCTTTGCTTTTTGTATACCAAAGAAAACTTAACAACAATACCATTAAATATTCTCCTCTTCCTGTTCGGTAAGAATTTAAATGAATTTAAATAAATCAAATTGCTTAGTTGAAGGATCGCTGAATTACCATTCCTACCGTTATTCTACAAGGTTCAGCGTATTCATATTAATTGTTTTGTGTTTAAATATACATATTTGGGACGTTGACTAAATCCGAATTTGCTGCACTTTGGAATCATCTCACTAGTTTTTTTTTACTTGGAGCGTCAACAGATGGCGTGGATGGTGGATTAAGGAAAGAATAAGGAAAGGAAATGGAAGTCCCAACATTAACAACACCCTGTCTAATAACGGCATCATCGTTATTTGAACTGTTGTCAAAGATTGGAGAAAGATACTTCTTATGTAAATGGATATTTTCTGTTTTCTGAATGACCTTGAACACCCAAACGAAACGACATTGATAATATGATAACATGTAAGTAGACGCGTAATTGGATTTTCCGCATCGCTTTAGTCATCGATTGATTCCGGTTAACAATGGGACCGTAGAATATTTGATAACAGTCATTAAGACTATTAAAGTACACAATACAGGTTTGGAATGCTTTAAAGAAGAGTAATGGGCTTAAAAAGAAACCTTTGAGCAATACTTCTAAAGTTCAGTACTCACTGAACAAAGCCATTTAATTTATAAAAGAAAGTAAATCCGAAACATCTCAAAAAAATTGTAAAATATTATAAATCTGCTTATAAATAGTAAGTACTGCTTCAATCATTTGATGCTTTTTTCGATACCTAGCTATATATGTACCGGTATACCTATATACCGAAGCCAATTAATAAATTGTATCTGAAACTCCATAACTGTATGCTACTTATTACTATGATAGAATTCTCTCAGTTTGGCCCGTGAGCTCAACTACCCGTCCGGGCGTATCTGGAATAGCCCCTTAGGCTACCAGCGAATAGGTAGGCATAAAAATGGGAAGAAAAACTATGACAGCCAAAAAATTTAAAAACTGACGGTACGAATATTGTCGTTCGGACTTTTCTTATGCGAGCTTATCTTGAAAATGTCGTAAGCGAGACTCAGGCATCTGTCAAATATCTTGCATTGTATGATGGCTACCGGCCACAATCTTTGAACGTTTTGAAACACTATTAAGCTTTTTATTTGACTTATACCTAATTAAAGTATTAAAACGAGAGAGTTCATTGCCATTGCAGTAGGTATCATTAACAATAAGTTAAACATATGCCAATACATAAAAAACACGTAAAACATTGCCTTAAGAAGTTGCCGTTTTACAATACGGGTCATTTGAAACGTAATTTATGTATGACTGACAATAAATTATAGATTCAAATGAATCTTATTTAAAATATATGGAGTTCTATTTTCAAATTCAGTTATTTTTTAATTGATTAGTGTTTTATTTTCACTATATTTGTAAATTTTTCATCAATATGAACACGATAAAAATACAATGGAATACGAGTTCCGTCGCGATAGCAATGCCGCACAATCAGATCACAACGTTAATGACGTGTACGGAGTTAAGTTCTGGTTCAGCACATAGACAAGGCTCCAAACGAAAACTTACTTCTAAAAAATCAAAGTCACTGGTGGTCTAGTGTCAGTATCATCCATCACAGCTTCCTACACAACGCTCGACCTCATACGGCACAACAGACGACCTCTAAGCTACAAGAGGTAGAGTTGGAAGTTTTGCGTCACCCACCGCACTCACCAGACTTGCGCCAACAGACTTCTACTTTTTCAAAGTTTTAACAACTTCTTGGCAAGAAAAAAATTCAACACCCCGAGAGGCATACAAAATGCCTTTGTAGAATTTTGTTGGCTCCTACACATCAGACTTTGTCTAGAAGGGCATTGAAATATTACCATGGCGCTGGCAGAGATGCATCGATACCACGAATGCATAATTTTATTGATATAAATAAAAAATACATACATATATAAAAATGATTTTAACTTTCTGTACCTACCTACTCGTATAGTAAACGCACTCGTAAGTCCTTACATCTGAAGTTTAAATATAATATTACACACCAATTATGTACAAAACTGGCAGAATGACGAATAGGGTGACTAAAAGTCTAAAACACGACATAAATTTTAATATCGTCAGTGTGATTGTATCACAAAAATAGTCTATGCGTAAGTTTTTTTCACAGGCAACGATCGCGCCTTCGATGTTTTACTACAGTGGCCATGATCCGGGTTCGATATGGAAATGATGTACTATTAATGTTAACTCGACATTGTGTACCTATATATCCGGCATGATTGCACGTTGAGGACAGTCCAAACATCATTAATTTTTCCAATCACGAACCGAATCCCGTATATATAAGCATCTAGAGGATTTCAAACTAGTATTATATTCGCTACAAACAGTCCCGGCAGTGGTCCCGTCTATTGATTAGACAAGCCTTTGTGCTGTGATTTGTGTAAATTACAAAATGTTCAAATCGGTGAGTATTTTTAAATTTATATATTTTTATTAAAAAAAAATTTTTTAAATATTAAAATATTTTATTTTGTTTGTAAAATATATTGAGTCAAATATATTTTACAAACAAAAAAGTTTAGAAATTTTAATTGAAGCAAGTCTTTTTTTTTCTATTGCTTAGATGGGTGGACGAGCTCAGAGCCCACCCGGTGCTAAGCCGTCACCGGAGCCCATAGACATCTACAACGTAAATGCGCCACCCACCTTGAGATATAAGTTCTGAGGTCTCAAGTATAGTTACAAAGGCTGCCCCACCCTTCAAACCGAAACGCATTACTGCTTCACGGCAGAAATAGGCAGGGCGGTGGTAGGTACCTACCCGCGCGGACTCACAAGTGGTCCTACCACCAGTCTTAGGTTTTGTTCAACACGACTGTTTTAAACATTTTTGAATTAAAGCATGTTTTACCTAAATGTATTTGAAATACTTTATAATATATTTTTGATAGTAATAAAATCAGAAAAATAAAAATGTACCAAAAATTTTTTACAAAGGGAACTATTACGATATTATTGTTTTGATAAGGACCGTAGCTAATATTAAAATTTTGTGAACAGGTGGTTCTTATTACCTTTGCGGTGTTGCTGATGGTGTGCTCGATCAGAGCCAAGCCTCAAGTGCTCGTCGACTATGGATACTATGCGCCAGCGGCATATGTCTCGTCCTACAGTGCACCCCTAGCCTACACTTATCCCTACGCTTATGCCTACTCATACCCGTATTATTATTAAAAAAACCGTTTGAAGATTTTTACACTGTAAACACAAAAAAAAATGTCTAATGGAACTTAACTTATCGTCAGTATTATCTTATTTCTGTTTAAATATTTCCTTGATTAATAAAAATCATATTTAAATGTATTTACTATGTACAATGAAAATCTTGAAAAATGTGATTTTTAAGCCAATAAATTATTAATAAAAAAAAAAATCTGACAATGTAATATTTCTTTTATTATAATTAATACGAGCCAAATCAAACCTATGAATAGTTAAATTACTATCTAACTTTATCTATCTTTTTATATAAAAAGGATAATAACAGCTGTACAAAATAATAAAAATAGCTATGTAGTTTAAAAACATCCTTATATAGCAAACCGAAAAAACAATTAATGTCACCTTTTTTATCCTGTTTACATTGATCTTATTATTTGAGCGAAGTTATAACATTATTAAATTGTCAACGGTCCTTGATGCCTTGTGTAAATTTCCAACTTAATGCAACGTCTTTAAGTCTGTGAAAATGACGTTCAAATATTTACAAGAGTTACACTTATGTATTGGAATAGCTGGAATAGTACCTTGGCTACCAGCGAATAGGTAGAAGAAAAAAATCATACCACAATTAAGCAGTTCCAAATTACGACCAAATTACGTGCTCACACGCACGGTTGAATAGGTTCGTATATTAAGAAGGCATCGTAAATGACACAATAATGATGGCATGTGCAAGGTCATGCAAAAGAATAATATGTCTTAAAGGTCTGTCGACTTTTTGGTTTTGTTTTTTACTTAATTTGGAAATGTAAATAATACCTACTATATAACCTAGAGTTAAAATTTTTTATATTTTATAGCCCTTTTCTGGTTCAATATACTTATTTTATCTTCAGGAATCTAACAGTTCTTGTTGAGTTCTTCTTTAATTGTATGACTATGGAGACTTAAAGAACAAATAATTAGGTAATATAATAATTATATGAGTTGAAATGTTATTTGTTAAAGCATATAGAGAGAAAGAGAAAGAGAGTAAGAGAGAAGCTTGATAAAAGCTTAAAGTAATAAACAAAAACCGTGGCAGACATTGTGAAATTGTTTTCCCATTTAATATCGTATCTACATTAAAATATATTTTTGATATTTCATTTTATCTAGTTATTGGAATATTCGAATTTAACGAATGAAGGCAGATCTTCGATAGCTTTCGAAATATAACGAAAGCATTTTAACCAACGGAGTAAGTACAAAGTTACTAGATTTGCTTGGTCATATATATTTAAAACTTAACATTGTTTATTATGAAAATTTTTAACGTAAAATATTACTTATATATTCATAATACAAAACATCAGCACGAATACTTACACGGCTGTTGATTCTTACCACCTCTTTACTACTCATCAGTATGCAGTATCTAACGTGTCAGCCTTTTGTCACCAAAGCGCTAAACAATCTTGTTGTCACTCATTGATCATTAACACTCCGCTTTATTAAAACGATCACGATTCACGCACTGGTCAATGAAGGAAAATGCATTTGATCCGTTAAAATCTATTATTAATATTTTCTATCTACAAATAACATACAATAAATTAGGCGTAGATAGATACAGAGGACTACTTATATGCTATAACTTAATTTACATACATTGCTACATATATTGCTACTTAATTATTATAATACAAATAAAGTTATTACTTTTATAGCCACATTTTTTGTATTCGAATTAAGTACGCTTAAAATAAAAAGTGTAATAACTACTAATCAGCATATTATGCAGAACGTTATTATAATCACATAAATATATAATAGGAAGTTTTATTTGTAAAAATCTATCCGTAAGTGGTATATACCATTTCATATAACTATGTATATTGCAATTACAAATACTATTAAGGGTATTAAGTTTAAGCACATTTTAATTTCGTAATGTATGATATCAATATCATCATTATCCTGCCCTTCTCCCAGTTACCTGGGGTCGGCGCAACATGTTTTCTCCTTCCATACTTCTCTATCATATACCATTTCTTCGCTCACTCCCATTTTACTCATATCGTCTTCCACGCAATCCATCCATTTCTTCTTAAGTCTACCTCTTCTTCTATATCCTGACATATTCATAGTTAACATTTTCTTACCAACCTCATTTTCATTTCGTCTCATCACATGTCCATACCATCCCAAACGCGCACTTCTCAGCTTCTCTGTCACAGGTGCCACTTTCAGACTTCCCCTAACATATTCATTCCGTATTCTATCCATTCTCGCTACTCCACACATCCATCGCAACATTCGCATCTCTACTGCATGCAATCGCCTTTCATCCAATGTATGATACCAATAAACTACTTCTAAAAGCCGTCAAATGTTTTTAAAGATTTACTTGCGACTCATGTCAAAATATTAAAACGGTATTTTACTTAATAACGGAAATGCAAAAATCTGCGTTTATTGATTAGTTGATCAGATATATTAATACGTAGTACAGAATTCGACCAATCGCATTTAAGTGACAAATAAACAATGTAACGCATAGTAAATAGCATAGTGCATGATATCTGCAGTCTGATAGAAAAATGTCTTTAGAAATAGTAGGATGATTTCCTTATCTGTTAATAAGTGCATCTAGGATATCATCGTGGCCTAAAGGATAAGACGGGTAGGGTTCAAACCCCGCGAATAGACCCCATTTTTACTAAAGAAATGTGTACTTAATACTTAATCACGAACGACTTCTACAATAAAGGAATGCACCATGTAGTAAAACTCAAAGCATAAAACAATATAAATTTTCGTAATGGTTATCTTGGCCTTATGTCTGAATGTAGATGGTAGCATTCATATTGTGATATCTATGGGTCCCGGTAGATACTGATGTGTGAACTCATCATTGCAATATTTTTTATTTATTAAGAACGCAGGACTGTCCACGGCAAACCTCGACACACATTTGTTAATGTATCTCATATTTTTTTGTTATCTAAAATAATTTGTGAGAATTCAGAATATTCAAAAATTTTGCCATCTCAGACTTTTAACCACGATTTCTCGAATCCGATTTCATCTTATTGCTGTAGACATTGTAGAAAATCATCTCAATGGTGTTTTTTTTACGAAATTTTAGAATGTTTATTTGTCACATAAAAGAGAAACGTGACATTTTACGTTCTTAGAGATTCCCAATTATTTTAAGTATGTGGTTATCATGAATTTTTAATAAAAAACCATTTTCTTATCGAAAGGGAATGAAATTTGTGGTGGAGAAGTAAAATATTAAAGCTCTAAGAAAATGTGGTACGCCTTTCCTTTGATTTTTTTTCGATTTTACAACTATCCAACACTTCTTCGAAAAATTTAATGGGGGTTTCATAATAACGACTGCATTAATAATTCTCAAGGGGAAATGTAGTATTCGGATCGTAGTTTTTTAGGCTCCGCTTAACATCGTAGGCCGGGAGCAAAAATCTAATCATGAACTTTCAAACAAAAAGTTTCGTAAAAATTAGAACTGTATTTTTTGCTTACAACTCAAGCAAACATACAAACAAAAAAAATGAAGAAAAATAACCACAAAGGTAAGCTACAATCCTTCTAATCTTTCTTTTTACTTTTCATAGCTGCTGTTGGCACTTCGAAGGGTTTTGGCATTGTACCAATTACATAGCGTAAGTGGCGAGCGAGTTGAATGATCTCTCGTAATATGTAGGTGGAAGTATTTCATATATTTAGCAATGATCACAGTGAAATCTGACTAAGTTACGCTAGATCTCATGTTGTGTTCTAAAGGAACTTATAAACTCAAAAAATGATTTAGCGATGAATAAAAAAATTGCCATTATATTATAAATTATCGTTCCAACTAACAACGAGATAATAATATATTGTGAAACATACAAATTTACGTTATAACATAATTTCTCTCCGTACAAATTTAAGCAATCGAATAATTGAAAATAAAAACGGAAAATCCTATATTCGATTAATGATCCTGCAACACACAGGTTAATCAGACCTGCAGATAGGTACATAGGTACCTACATAGTTAAGTTACATTATGATAATATGATACCAACTACGTCCAATAAGAGTACACCAGGAATAACATGAAAATAAAAAGGTTTGTCTTAAATTCGAAAGTGTAACTAGGCAGATTCATTTTGACTGCTTTGATTTTCAAATTGCGCAAATTCATTGTTAGCCTTTAGATCACAATCTCTTCATTTTTGCACTAAAATCGACACAACGCTGACAAACACATGTTGAAATAGTCAATATTCAAGCACCAAACCTATCCTTCGATTCCGAAATTTGAATTATTTCAAATCTATCAAAAAAACTCCCATGAATTCAATGCAATGGTTCTCTTATACGATGTTTTACGTGAAACTACAGATGTTGACCGTATTCAAAATATTATTTAAGCCACTTCCAAATCTGAATCAGAATCATCCGTGTACATGCGAGGTGTTGGAGGTGCAGGCGGCAGCTGTGCAGGTGGTGAATGGGCAGGTGATAATGTCGGTCTCGAGAGCAGAGGAGCTCGGCCACAGGATCGCTCCTCCTGTAATTTTCTGAGTCTTTCTTGCTCCTCGCGTTTCTGCTTGCGCCATTTTGCACGGCGATTCTTAAACCATACCTGTCAAACAAATGTATAATGTATAAATATTAGCTAGCATTTGGACGTTATAATGTTGTACTTAAATTCGATTTTCAAATTACGTTGACCCTGCAATGAAATTATTATTTATACAAATTTAAAAATCTACAGTGGTTTTGGCGGATGTTCCGTTATAAATACTGAAACCATGCATCCGATTGAGTTGAAACTTGGTATCCATCTAGAAAATACATGTGCTTAATGGATAGGCTAACATTTATATGAGGGTTGGACTCCTTAATAATGATGACAATAAATAATAATGTTAATTTTAAATGACCAGCGAAGCGGGCGAGTACGGCTAGTAGGTATCTGATTGTACTGTACGGTTTGAAAGGTCGGGCAGCCGTTGTAATTGTACTTGAGACCTTAGAACTTATATCTCAAGACGGGTGATGCACTTATGTTGTAGATGTATATGGGCTTCAGTAACCACTTAGCACCAGGTGGACTGTAAGCTCGTCCACCAATCTAAGCAATAAAAAAAATCTTAAATTCAATTTACAAATTACGTTGACCCTGCAATGAAAATATTATATCTGATATGTTTGTTGAAATTATTGATAGTAGTAGCCATATCTGTACTAACGTCGGTATACGCAGTCATTCATGGTGCTTTAGATTTGTATTTTATCCGATTGCCGAAGAAAGAAAGACTATATAGGACGCTTAATAAAACACATTGTGTTTGTGTAATATATACTTTTGTTTTTATTTTATATAATGCCCTTGTAGGCAGATAAGCATTACGGTCCATCTGATGGTGAGTGGTTACCGTTGCCCATGGACTTCAGCAATGCCAGGGGCAGAGCCACGCCGCTGCCTACCCGAATACCCCTTGTCTACAATTCTTGTCTTCTTTTACGTTTCACTCTTAACAGAGTAGTAGCATTTGGGGGGTAGATTTATTGACGTCTAATTACATTCAAGTTAGTTGTATTTTAGTTACAGAGAAATTATAGAGTTTTCCGTTTTTATGACAATCAAGGAAAGGCGTTATAATTTTTAATACAGTCTTTTTTTGGTTTGTTTAATTCTTTATTCTCTCCACAGTAATTGATAGTAATAACTTTATAGGACTAATTTCATAGTATTCCGAATTTTAAAATATGATATTCTACGATGTGATGCCTGCAGAGAAAAGCCAATACAACTAAGACTGACTTCATATTTCAAAGTGGGTGCATTCGTATTGTGATATACATGCGCACCGGTAACCACTTAACATCGGGTAGGTTGTGAGCTCGTTCACCCCTGTGTAATATATATATATATAAAAATGAATTGCTGTTCATTAGTCTCGCTAAGACTTGAGAAGGGCTAAGCCGATTTGGCTAATTTTGGTCTTGAATTATTTGTGGAAGTCCAGAGAAGGTTTAAAAGGTAGAAAAATATGAAAATGCTCGGAATTAAATAAAAATAACAATTTTGTTTTTCCTTTGATGTGTCCCCCGTCGGACGAATTCCTTTTGTTTGTTTTAAGTTTATTTTACACAAAAGTTTAGGTCTTTTATTTATCGATTAAGGCAATACGAAGTTTGCCGGGTCAGCTAGTAAATTAATAAAAAATCGGTTTGAACCAATTTAAAATAGGTGCAGTGTTCTCAATTCTATGCGTAAATATGTTTGAATGTAGGCTCTGTCTGTGCTTTTTAATCCGCTATATTCATCTCTGTATTAACCAAAATCATATGTACAATGCGAAACTTATACAAGAAAATCGAAGGATTACAGTTTTTGACAGAAATCAATCGGTACAATATATGTTATTTACAACACCGTTTTATTTGTTGACAACTGAAGCGACCCAATTTCGTAGCAAACATTGTAATAACTACTGCGCTACCAACATTCAAAGCGTAGTTTTTATAAGTAGCTGCATTCAAATCCGGTATTCATTGGTGTATCTTGTAAGGATGCTCTATAGGCGCTTCCAGTCGAGTGGACACACACAAGTGTTTAGATGTTCCCAGACTGCGGGTGGTCACCGTGACGGCTCTATTGTAGCACCTCACCGTCACAACACAGGGCGGCTTCCTTTTTCCGTGTTTCCATACAATCGATTCGATATTTGCTTGAAATGTTTCTGTTAATATTTAGTTCATAACGATGCGCGAAGAATCAATTTATTTGTACATTGATCTAGTCGGACCGTTTTATTGTATTTCGCCATACAATATAATGCTATTATAATTTTTTAATTATGTAAGTGTTTTATTCGGTATATAAATGAATGTTCGACAAATGAATGTCTTTTTGTTCGCCTTCAGTTATAGGTAATTTTTTTTTTCTTTGCTTAGATGGTTGGACGAGCTCACAGCCGACCTGGTGTTAAGTGGTTACTGGGGCCCATAAACATCTACAAGGTAAATGCGCCACCCACCTTGAGATATAAGTTCTAAGGTCTCAGTATAGTTACAACGGCTGCCCTACCCTTCAAACCAAAACGCATTACTGCTTGACGGCAGAAATAGGCGGGGTGGTGGTACATACCCGCGCGGACACCTCAAAGAGGTACTACCACCAGTAAATTCATAAGTATATTTCAATGCAAATATAATCTAACTCTGATTAATTGTTTGTTTGTTTTTTTCCCTACCTGCTGCTAGCATAAGAGGCTATTCCAGCTACGGCCGGACGGGTAGGTGAACTCACGAGCTCAACCTAAGAGAATTTGCTAGCCCTAGCAAGACCAGTGTCTAGCAGAATCTACCACCGGATCGGAATCTCGACTCACTGAGAAGATCCGGTGAGAAACTCAGTGGACATTAATTTTCATGAATTTGATTTTTTTTTGGAACACTGTTTCGCTTTTTACATATTCTTAATTTTATCAAAATAGAAAATGACATACGCATGCGAAGTGACTTTTTGCAACTTAAGATTTTAGTTCAGAAATTCGATTCCATTATATAAAGGTTGTTTCATCCATCAAAACAGATTGAAAGACTACTTCGCAGCATAAAATCATGATGGTGATAACTGTCCGGGGTCTAAAAATGTGTCCTATCACCAGTTTATCGTGTAAATTAAAGAAATCCTTTATTCTTCACGAGTTATCTTTATTGTCTTCGCGAACACATTTTATTTGAATGGCGGAACCCCAAAAACATTTCTTAAGGCTTTAAAATTAATTCGTTAACGATACGGCCATTGTCGGAGTTAATTGCATTACAAGAGTCAGGCGGTAGTCGACAAAAGCCCCATTAACTTTGGGTGAAGAGCTTCACAACTGTGGAGGGCTGCCCGTGCCTCGCTCTCGGCCGCTCATTCGACGCCACTCAACCGGCAAATATGGCCGCTGCCACTGTCAGACTCCAAGGCGGCTCCTTACACCCGCTATTCGCATCAAATCAACGAAACTTTATTGTCATTACTCGCACACAATAAGATTAGCTCGACGCTCTTTTGTGAGTCGCTGATTGTGTTTGGTTTAACTCGTTTGCCGTTTTGCCCGTACTCATTGTTGTTTATCAATCACTAAGTAATTCCCCTCTTATATACGACTGAATTTGACGTATTTCAATTGAATTTCATCTAAGTAGCTAGCGATACCTAAATGTATGGTACATGGAGTAATAGCGAAATGCTTATGGTGTGTAGTGTCCCTATCACTTATGGCATTAATGGAGATATATATTCCCTACCTACTCGATGGTAGCCTAGAGATCTATTCCAGCTACACCCGCACTGGTAGTTGACCTCACGGGTTAAAACCTGAGAGAATTTGCTAACACTAGCCCTAGCAAAAGCAGTGCTTCGCAGAATCTGCCACCGGATCGGAATCGTGATCCATTGAGAAAATCCGCTGTGAAACTCAGTCTTTGAACTCTTCGTCTTAAACGACGGGATCGACGAGGACAGTGACCGATGATTGAGGGGTGTGGGATCCACCGAAAGTGGATCCGGGGGACCCGACAAGACATTTTTGGATGGCGATGGCGACTTTGCGTTGCCTGGGTCGGGTACATAATATACATACATACTTTTATTGAACCTGAATTCTGGACACCAATGGGCAACGGATATCGGTACGAAAATATTCATTATCTATAATCTCATGGTTGTTATTATTTATCAATGATATTGTCCTGAATGTTTAAGGTGTAATTTCGCGTTTATTATTAACATTTGAAAATTTTTGACGTTTTGAATACGTTAAGTTTAATTTAAAACGTTTAGAATAAGTAACTAGAAAATATTATATTTACAAACGCGAAAAGAAATCTTTTATTCACGAAAACCTTAGAAAATCTATGAGTAGTAAGTCATTTGACATTTCTTGAAGACGAAACAAATATTATATACTTCTATTTTTTTTTTTATTGCCCTTGTAGGCAGACGAGCAAACGGCCCTCCTGAGGGTGAGTGGTTACTGTCGCCCATGGACTTCAGCAATGCCAGGGGCAGAGTCAAGCCGCTGCCTACCGTTAAGTACTCTCCACAAGCCTCGTTTGAAGAAGCATATGTCATAGCGCTCAGGAAACACCGTGGAGGGGAACAAATAATATGAACATTTCATCAACTTTTAGAACAAAGCTTTATTAGAAGCTTCAAGCGCTCCATGCTGTAGGATTCATTAGGAACTCGCTATTGTTAGAACGAAATAGTGCAGAATTTCCAAATTCCATTGTATGCAGCCACTGTGTTGTTTCAACGTAATTACATTTTTATTTAAACGACACCAAGTACCAGCTTTCCTAAAGATATTTACGATCTTAAGATATTTGCCTCCAGTTCAAATCTTAATTGACACTTTAAAACACTCGATAAGTCAAATCAATTAAACGGCAACGAACACTTAGAGCTTTTAAATTCAGTTCACGTGGCACCGCGGAGAGTGACCGCATGATGATTTATGACTAACTAGGTATTCAAGGTGTTTTTACAATTTTAAATTAATATAAAATATTAATATTACCGTTAGTTGGTAGCTGTTCAACTAAAATAAAAAACACGTGAGAAAAATGTAAGATGAC